GGGTAAGAATAGGCATCAAGACCATGAAATATTACCATAGAACATCGCCTCGCAAAACGTATTTAGTGTAAGAAAATCGCAAAAATAATTATGAAGGGTATGGCGTCGAATGGAACAAAACGGGCCAATAATTAAGTAGAAAAACATTAATTTGACGTAAAGCAAAATTACAGTGCATCACAGTTCTATGTCAGAAAAGAGACGGGCATTGCACAGCCGACATCGATGGACGAAGTTTTGCTAAACACGTTCAAATATACCCGGTGTGTTGGCGATGTCTGTTGAAGCGATGACGATCCATGTTGTCAAATCCTCCCGAGTATCCACAAGCATATAAGATCAACCGATTTCAGATGGCCTCAGAAGAAGGAATCCAAGGGATTGCATTCCAGGGAGCGTGGAGGCCAATCAACAGATCCGAAGCGTCCAGTCTCACGGAGTACGTAGCATCGAGGTGGTTACGCAGAGTAATCGCAGAATGTGCTGGTGCACCATCGTGCATGAACCACGTGTTTTGACACAAAGTGGCCAGTATTCCCTGCATCAAATTCAGGAGTACGTGCTTGCTGTAAAAAATACTGAGGCGTTCAGGCAGGTACGGTTCCAACAGATGATCTCCTAGAAGCCCTGCTCAGATGTTTATAGTGAGACAGTGCTGTGGGGACCCCATATGAGCATTGTACCTGTTGACCACGCCTTCTCTCAAAAATCAGTTTTTGGTTTTGGTTTATGTGATCACGGCAAAGCCTCGAGGGCTTTGATAAAATTTATTTTACAAAACGGAACATTTTACAGTTCTGGATTTTTCGACGAAAATACCGTTATGAGTATCACAGAGCACAATCAGTAGTAGCACGTCAAACTGCTGAGAACGTTAAACACAACGCAATGCAAAGGGCATCTAAAAAGGTGAAGCTGCTATGGAGATTTCTCAAAAAATGTAAAATTCTTGCTGAAGGAGGTCTAAATCTAAGAAAATTCGAAACCAGTTCCCTAGAGCTTAAGCAGAAATGGCATGAGGAAAAGTTAATCTCTCTCAATAGTGACACTCCATGTACATCCTTAAAGATACTACTAGGTTTAATAAACATGGAACAATGAATGATGTCTTAGGACTAGAATTAACACCCTTACTGTCCTCTATAAATGCACTGACTGTACCAAACGTAATGTATTAAAAATAGCAGCCAAAATTTTTGACCCATCTGGATTTATTGCACCCTTTGTAATTCGAATTAAATGTTTATTGCAACAGCTATGGCTTCAAGGGGTAGCTTGGGATGAGGTCTTTTCTGGAGAACTCGAAAAACGAACTGGAAAATATGGCTCTCCGAAATAAAAGAACTTAAAATTGTTGTAAAATGAAAATTGAAAATTCCCAGATATTATTTTCATGTACCAAATTTGGATAGGGACACTGTTCAGTTACACATTTTTAGTGACGCTAATCCGAATGCATATGGCTCAGTCGCATACTTGAGATATAGAACTGATGAAGATAAATTTGAAACTACATTTGTTTTGGCAAAATCACGTGTTGCACCATTAAAGAAGTTAACGCTTCCCCGCCTTGAATTGATGGGAGCATTGGTGGGTGCTAGGGTTGCCAACTACCTGAAAAATATTCTACATATTTCAAATGTCATTTTATGGTCAGATTCGGAAATAGTTCTACATTGGATAAAAGTACAGCTAAAAGATGGAAACCTTTCATTGCTAATAGAATTTCAGAAATACACGAAATTTCAGATCCTTGTTCATGGAGACATTGCGAAGGAATGTCTCCATGAACAGAACATCCTGCAGATCTAATAACAAACGGTTGTTCTGCAAAAGAACTGATGAATTCTGCGAAATGGTGGCATGGCCCTGCATTTCTTTCGTTACCTGAAAGTCAATGGCCAAAACCCAAACTATCAACGTCAAAATTACATGATGTATCAGAAGAATCTCGAAAATCGGAAGCTATCCTAGCGTGTGTGATCAAAACAGACAAAACTGAAAAAGTTCCACTCATGAATTTGACGAAATTTAGTTCCTTGAAAAAACTTTATCGTGGGACTGCTTGGATTTTCAGATTTATATCAAATTTAAAAGTAAAAGGGGAAAATAGAAATTTTGCGGATAGAGTTAATGAATCTCCGCCTTTCGCAATTTGTGGACTCGATTTTGCAGGTCCTTTGTATGTAAAAGAAAATGACAACAAATACTACATTTTATTGTTTACTTGCGCCACTACAAGAGCTATTCACCTGGAGCTCGTAAAAGGCATGAGCACTGAAGAATTTTTACTTGCGTTCCGCAGGTTCGTATCCCGAAGAGGTTTGTGTTCCACTGTGTACTCGGACAATGCTAGAACATTTAAAAGAGCCGAACTTGAATTAAAGCAAATGTGGAAAGTGATTAACCACCATGAAGTTAAAAAATTTTATGCTTCGCATGGAATCACATGGATACATTGTAGAACATGCTGCCTGGTGGGGCGGTTTTCATGAATGTTTAGTTCGCAGTGTGAAAACTAGTTTAGGAAAGAACATTGGGAAATCATCTTTGACTCAAAGTGAATTAGAAAAGCAATGATAAACATTTGCTTGAAATAGAAGCGATGATAAACTCGCACCCATTAACATATGTCTTTTCTGATCTTGAAGAGCCCTCCGCACTTACTCCAGCCTACCTGTTGATTGGTAAATGACTCTTGAGTTTGCCAGCTGTAAGGAGGAATGACTTGAATTTACCAGGTTCCAGAGAAGTTCCAATGAAGATTAAAACAAAATAGTTTCCGTACACGAGAAAATCTAATAAATCACTTTTGGAACAGATGGAAAAAAAGAATATCTCCTGTGCTTGAGATCTGCTCATTATACCGGTCAGAAGAAACCATCTGCATTCAACGTAAATGATATAGTGCTTGTTCATGATGAAAACTTACCTAGAAGCTGGTGGAAATTAGGAAGAATAACCAAAACTTTTATTGGTAGAGATGGAATGATCAGATCATGTGAAGTGAAAACTGGTAATTCGGTAATCAAACGTCCAGTGCAGCTATTGTACAATTTAGAAATTGATGATATCAATAATTGCAATAATCAGTGACTTATCAAAAATAGACTGAATGACTGATAAACTGATGGTAGACAAAAAAAAAATATTCTTTCCTAATGTTTTCATTTATTCATTTTATTATTTTCCTTGGTTTAATGATTTGTGGTGATCTTGAGAAATGTTAATTTAAATGTTTTGTTTTTTCTATAGTTTCAGAAAAAAAAATTTGCTTAATTAAGAAATTATTGATATAATGTGACCTGTATATGTAAGTAATTTTTATTTGTTTTCTTATTGTTTATAGTAATATTGTAATGGTTAGTTAAATTTGTGATGAACCTATTGTTCATCGGGGGGGAGTTTGTTGAAATTATTTCTTTTTCCCTCCGATGGAGCAATTTTTCTTTTATTATTTATCGTCTGTCGCCGACTAGGTCACGTGATTGGCGGCAGAAAAAGAATGTAATAACTCTTTTAGTTTAGCTTGAGTGCGACGCTTGAAATGATCTGTTTGTTCTTGGCTGCATAGCGGTAATCAACAATTATAATAACTGTTCTTGATAAACTAATCTTGGCCCTGTGATGGGGAAATTTATATTATATGTAAATTTTGTGCTTTGAATAATGTAAATAATGTACATAAGCGCTTCATTAAATATTTCTGTGTTTCAACTAGAAGTTCTTATTTTCAAATTGAGTCTTTACGTGAAAATGGTATATTGACTAGTATACTAATTATACTAGTATATTCTTGATTAATTTGTTGCTCTCCCAACTCGTGTAAAATAGAATCGTGAATTCGTGATCATAACGTTCAAATTTTATACAAGCCATATTAATAACCACAAGGCAATTGAAACAGAGAAATATTCGGAAAACTTCAAATGCACTGAAAAATAATTTTGAACTCCGCTTCTCTGATTTCCATTAAGTTCAATCAATATTATTATTCATCTCAAACCCATTTGCTGAAATTAATATTTTCAGATGTATCACATAAGATTTGAAATATGTGTAACAAAAATGTTGATGTTTTGGAAATGTGCTCGCGATAGGCCAAAGATTGGGCACCACTGGTCTAGACTATTGTAATGGACGCACAACTTTAAGCTTAAAATTTGATGACTTACAGATCTGAAGTACGACCTTGTTCAGTCTGTTTACAATTGTTTAAGGACCATTCCAGGGTGACTTTAGTTTAGAAAAGAGTCCTTTCCGTCAAATCGGATTCCACAACCAAATCTTGTCACCTTCGCTGAATCGACGTCCTGTAGATCTTGGGTATATCGGGTCTTCGTCTTCACCGCGCCAAGCTGACTCGCTCTTGTGCATCACTTCAAACTGTGCCTAGAGATCTTGCATATAACTCTTAGGGCGATGGCCAATACTCTTATTGCTCGTATCTGGGTCAGGAATAAATGGTTTGTCGAGTTGAGGATACGTCAGCTAAAGCTTTCTTCAGTTTGTTAAGTGCATCTATACATTTTTTTTTTGTCCACAGGAAAGTTTACTTGCTTTCTGTCAGCTTGTGAAGGGATCTTGCGATGGAAGAAAAGTGCTTCGCAAATCTTCTATAGGTACAAAGCACCAGGAATCTTCTCAGCTGATGGATATTTTCGAGATGTCTCCAAACTTCAACTGCCGATACGTTTTCTGGACTCGTATGCACAGCTTCGGCAGAAATGACATGTCCAAGATAAGTCACTACCTGTCTGAACAATTTACATTTGAGGGACTTAATTTTAGATTGTTTTCCTTCAATTTCTGAAGACTTCGTAGGAAAGTCCTCTCAACACGATCTCCATGAGGCGTTCGAATGTTGCCGGCACATGACATAATTCAAATGGCATCACCTTCAACTGCCATCGGCTTTGTCCGGTAGTAAATGTATTTTCTCGACCATCAGGATGTAGCTCTATCTGCCAATAGCCACCTTTTAAATCAAGTGTCGGAAATCACTTTCCTCCGGAAAGAATGTCAAGAATATCGTCAATTCCAGGAAGACGGTAGCTGTCTTTCTTCGTAACACCTTTCAACACGTCAACGCGAAATCTAGTTGAATTGGCTTTCTTTCTGGTCAGAACTATGGAACAAGGATTTGCTGAAGGCTTGATAACATAGCTTTCTTGCATGTCCTTTAGAAGTTTTCTTACCTCTTCCTGTTTAGCAATCGGTAGACGTCTTCGATATTGCTGGATTGGTGAATGATCCCCTGTATCAATTTTGTGCTGTGTCAAACTCGATTGACCTATGTCAGAATATATGCAAGAGAAAATACTTTAAAATTCTTGAATGACACTTTCGTCAGCACTCTTCTGTTCATCGTTTAGATGTGCATTTTGCAATACCTACGATGTTAGGCTCTCTAAAACAAGATTCTGAAGAACTGCTGGTTCGTTTAACGCAGGTCAGTGGAGTACGTGATGCTACACATCGTCTTTCCTAATGACTTTCGTATTATAACTTACGCTGGCAACTTTCACGGGGATGACAGTCCTCGATAGGTAAATGAGTGTCGAGGCTACTAGTACTCCTTTCGGGCACTTACAGTTCTTAGGATATTGCACTTTAGGATCGGTTTTTTGCCACTCCTGTTTCGCGTGAAGGCACTTGACTTCTTGGTTAAATCGTCTACGCGAGCAGGCAATTTATCTGCTGGCTCCTGGACATGAACAGCTCTTATTGTTTGGCGGTTTCTAGGTGTTGCTTGCTGTGATGTCTTGAATTTTATGGTATACATGAAAGTGCTCATTGAATCCTTGGCATCAATTTGCGCAGTGCTTTCTGTATCCCAAGATCCCCTATGCCATCGATGACGTATATCAGGGACAGGATTTCCCTATTTCTGATGGGCAATCCGAAAAAGCTATACGAGATGGCTTTTGAACATCCATAACGAGATTTTGCGATGTTTCCGGAGGGTTCTGTTGGCAAGATTTTAACTGAAGCCTTCTATAATCCTTTAAACACTTGTTTCCAAAGCGTAGCTCCAAGCGCCGGATAGAACTTCCGTTCTAGCCTCTTGGTTTTCAGGCAGAGTTTGAAAGACATCCGATGCGTCTGCTCTCAGAGAAACAGCAAAATGTTGGCCTTAGCTTGGTAATCCCATCCATTTGCGTACGCTACTGCAACTGAGTCTTCTACTACGAGTCTCTACGCTTGCCGAGAGGTTTTACTACGATATATGGATAGCTTTAGAGATTAACGAAAAGGCACGGGTAATCTTCCTTCTGTATTTCTTTAAGGTCTCAATTCTTTGGCGACTGCAGAAATTCTAATCGATTTGTTCGACAGCAGAAACTCTCTCTTCGATTTGTTCTTTGACAGAAGAAACTCTTTCTTCAATTTCTCCAACTTTGTTTTCAATAGTGTCTATTCTGCCTTACCTAATTTCAATTTTTTTCTATTACGGTAGTATTACTTTACATTTCGTTTCTATTACTTTAAATTTTCTCTTGACCTGCGGCCCACCAGCAGCCGAGCGGGAACGCTGTTAGTTACGACCTGGGTTCGAGTCCAAGCGAATGGTTTGGCTGCATGAGCGTTTTCGTTGTTTTCTGAATGTGTAACGTGTGTACGAGCCAGTTTCTTTTAGAAAGTCCTCCACGAAGGCATCCCTCCACTTAGTTAACCCTAGTGTGCTTTGCAGTATAAACTAAAACAAACATCTTAACCTACTTCAATCTTTTCTTCAACTGATTTGACGACCTCTTCAGCCTTGCTAGACCCGCTTTCATCTCGTCTTACCGAATTTTTAGTCCGCTTTCATTTCTGCTTTAACGGAGTTGACGACTCCTTCCAACTTTTCTTGGAATGCAGCAAGAGAGGTCACCATTTGTGTTAGATACTCATCATCGCTCTTGTCACCGGCATTCAGCCCCACTCCTGACACCAAAAATTGCAGCGTGCGCACAGATTTGCAATACACTGAATGCACAGAGAACCGGTTGTAGTTTGATAAAGTTCATTTTACAAAAAGGAATACTTTACAGCTCTGAAACTTTCCACAAAAACACTCGTACGCTGTCCTCAGTATCATAGAGTACAATCAGTAGCTACATTTCAAACGACTAAGAGCGTTAAACACAACGCAATCCAAAGCGCATCTAAAAAGGCGGAGCTCCTACGGACATCTCTCAATACTTCGAACTCACGCTGAATTAAACAACTGAGAAACGTATGCTCTCCCCGGTCTTATGTAGTTTTCCCCTGGCACAGAAAAATCTGTAATTCTCAACCTTTTGACTAACGCTTACCATCTAAAATAAAATTCATAAACTTTAGTACCACCATTACATTTTACAAAGATTATTTTTCAGTTTCTCAGTAGAAATATTTATATACATACAGTGTATCACAAAAGTGATGGGACACTTGTGCTTTACAAAAGAAAACTGCAGTAAAATAAAATAAAAAAACATGTAAAAATTTTTTGTGGGTATGTTTCATACTTAAATTTAGTAACTATTATTACATAACATACATTTTTTCAAAATATTAAAATATTAATTTAATAAAAATACAATTGTTTAGAACAGAGCAAAAAATGGCTCACATAAGTGATGAGACACTTACTTTTCCATCAAATATTTATCCAAAAATTTTACTTTTTAAAAGGTTTTAATATTTTATTGAATTTCCTTTTACTTTTAAAACATGATTTAATCTTCTTGGGATGGATTCGACTAATTTTTTTATGATTTCTGGAGTGATTTTACCCCATTCTTCTTGAAGCACCGATTTTAATTGTTGTTTTGAAGAAATGGTGTGTTTGCGAATTCTTGATTCCATTTCTTTCCAAGTATTTTCTATGGGATTTAAGTCTGGAGATTGAGGTGGTGTTTTTATTATTTTAGGGCAGTTATACAGCAGCCAGAGTCTAACGTTCAAAGTAGTGTGCTTGGGGTCATTGTCCTGCTAGAATTCAAAATCGTTATGAAGGTTCAATTTTCGTGCTGAAGATTTCAAATTTTGATTTGAAATGTTAATATACTTGTACTGATCCATTATACGGTCAATAAAAACAAGATTACCAACTCCAACGGACGACTTACACCCCCATACCATAACTCCTCCTCCACCATGTTTTACTGTTGGCACCAAGTTCTGTTTGCGAAATTCTTCCCTGACTTTTCTCCACACCAAGATTCTACCGTCAGAACCAAATATATTAAATTTACTCTCATCAGCAAATATAATTTCATTCCAGTAATCAGAATTCTTATTTATATTGGATTTTGCGAAAGCCAGTCTGAGTTTTCTATTCTTTTCACTTACAAAGAATTTTTTCTGGCTGCTCTACCGTGATATCCAGGAGATCGAATTACTCTTCTAATAGTCTCAGGATTAACAATTACTCTATATAATGCTTGTAAATCAGCAGCAACTTTAGGAGCACTCATTCTTGGATTTTTTTAATATTTCGAACGATAATTCGCTTTATTCCATTGGATAGCTTTGATGGTCGGCCAGGTCTTCTTTTATCCTGAATCATATGATTCTTTTTATATCGTTTAATGATACTGAAAACTGTTGAATGACTCAAGTTAACTGTTTCAGCAATTTCTCTAATAGATTTTCCACGTTCAATATGCAAATTTTCGAATTTCAGGCAAAGTTTCTTTTCGTTTAGCATTCATGGCTGCACAGAGCTAAAAAACACAAAAATTCCAAAACAAACTAGAGAGAAATACTGCAGACGATTTTATAAATTATTGTAAAATGCTTTTGAATAAAAATAAAAAACCCAAAAAATATTTTTATTGTAGTATGTTGTAGTATCTATGGTGTCCCATCACTTATGTGAGCCATTTTTTGCTCCGTTCTAAACAACTGTATTTTCTTAAATTAATATTTTAATATTTTGAGAAAATGTATGTTATGTAATAATTGTTACTAAATTTAAGTATGAAACACACCCATAAAAATTTTTATATGTTTTTTTAATTTATTTTATTACAGTTTCCTTTTCTAAAGCACAAGTGTCCCATCACTTTTGTGAGACACTGTATATTGCCATTTGCACAACTTACTGGGTATTTGTATTAAATATGCATACATAAAAAATATTAGATTAAAAATTGGTTACCATTTTAACTATCAAAATTTAAGTTATAATACTTTAATTCTAAAATTTAGTGCGAAATTTAGGCCTGCTTAAGAAAGATCAAATTCTTTATATCTGGTCTTATTTCACTTAACTTTAACCGTATATTAGGATCCACTTTTAATTTTGTTCTGTATTTTATTTGTCAAATATATCATGGAAGAAAATCCTTGTTCACACAAATAAGTTGCAGAAAAAGGCAATAAAAATTTAACAGCTTTATTTGAAATGCGTTTAAATTCTCTCTCTCTTTTTTTTTTTTTTTTTTTTTTTTTTTTTTCCCGGTTCAGCCAAAGTTAACAGGTGTGTTATTTTTAAAATTTTCAGTTAGAATTAATATCACAGGAAATTTCTGTCGTGTTTTAATCCTTTTATTTTCAAATTATTCTCGTTTCGAAAACTTACTAAAAGTGGTAAAAAGCTTTAAATATTATTATCCAGTTCTTTGATCATTAGCTCGAGTTATTTTAACACTGCATTTAATTTATCTCTAATGGTAAACAAATTAATACTTCCTCCTTGTAAACCTAAATTTAACTCATTTAACTTTCCAAAAAATATCAGCTAAATATGCTAAACGCGCCAACCATAATTCGCTAAATAAATATCTTACGAAATCAAACTTTAAATTAGAGGAAAATTTGAATTTCTAATCGAAGGTGAAAAAGACGATTTAAAACTTTTCCTCTAGATATAACCACCTTATTTCAGAATGTAACAAAAGCGTTCCATGTTTACTGCCCATTTCTTGGCATAAAATCAAAAATATTCTTGATTTTAAAGCTCGGCTTTTAATAAAATTAATTTTGACAACTTGATTCAAAACGATTTTCAAGTTTTCGGGGAAAACTTCAAGATGAATGGAACAGTGAGTAAATTCAGTTTCAGGTGCGACTTTCTTTATTTGAGAAATATCACCGGAAAGTCTAAGCTCCGTCACTATATATGACAATGCACTTATTCCAAGGAATATCATTCTGACATAAAATTGTCAATACTTTAAAAATTTCATTTGCAGCTGCTCTATCATGAAGAGGTTCACCAAATATTCGGCAAATCGTTTATTTTCTTCGAAATATATCTAAACTAATAATTGAACAAAGTACCGATTACCAATTACGATGCGAAATACTGACTGCGTTTTACTTTTTGAATAAGTGTCTCGTTTTACGGACTTTACTTTTTTTTTTTTTTTTTTTTTTTTTTTTTTTTTTTTTTGTTGCCATTTCATGAATTCGTAGACTTACTATATCATTTGATGATAGAATATTATTAAGTTAGTTAGCAGCTTTTTCGTTGAATAACGTTAGAACGCTGTTTGATATAAAATGCGATGAGTTACGAGAGATAATGGCGCTGGTTCCAAAATAAAACTAAGTTCGGCCATACAAATATTTAATTATTTACGTAATGTACAAGGTTACAAGTTAAGTGCTCCTTTAGCACAGACAAAGTGGAACGAACGAACGCACCATAGAACGAACGCTGCGTACCTTAGAACGAACGCTGCGTACCTTCTTCAACAACCAACTCAACTAAATTTGGCTCCTCTCACAAGAGGGCGCTGATCCTAGAGGGCGCTATATTAAACCGAACATTTCGGTCCCCATTGAAACAAGTTTCAATAATGCCATAAAAGTTTTACAATCAAATTCAAATTTAGACATACATATTAAATACACAATGAAATGCAATTTGCCCACCAGCGGCCGAGCGGTAAAGTCGCTGAACACTGGTAGTTTGGTCCGAGGTTCGAATCCCGCGAACGGGCTGGCTGCATGGGCGTTTTCGTGGTTTTCCCCATGTGTAACGTGTATACGAGCCAGTTTCCCTTAGAAAGTCCTCCACGAAGGCATCCCTCCCCTTAGGCAGATAGCCCTCGAGGCTTTGCCATAATCACACACACACACACAATGAAATGCAATTTAACACAAATTATTTCAATTACAATTAAATTCAGTATCATATAATATAAAAAATCAAAATATTATACTTGCAATACAAATACATACAAATATTATACTTGCAATACAAATACATACAAATATTATACTTGCACTAAAGAATAATGTAATAATGTCCATTCATAATATGAAAATTTTATATCTGATAGTTGTCTGGTATGGGCAAAATACTTAATTTTGTGACAGGCCTTTTATAAAGAGACCCTTTGCCGTGCTTAAACTGCCATTTTGTTCGCTCATGAAGTTGCGATAAATAATCCCGTTGCCACCTTTTCTAAATATTTTGAGTCACTTTGGTGACTCTTTTCCATCTAGACAATCTGTTGTCAGACTTATTTATAATTTCTGGTTCTACAGGGGCTGTTATAGAACGGCCAATTAAAAAATGTCCAGGCGTTAACGCATTAAAATCCCTTGCATCTGAAGAGAGAGGAGAAATTGGTCTGGAGTTTAATATTCCCTCTATTTGTGTTACTAAAGTTAGAAATTCTTCCATGCTTAATTTTGAATTCCCAACCGTTTTTTTTTTTTTTTTTTTTTTTTTTTTTTTTTTTTTAATGCGTTTTGAACGATTGCCTGCCTCCCAAAGCCCACCAAAATGCGGTGCTCTAGGAGGTAAAAATTTCCACTCAATCTCCTCTGATAACAAATAGTCGGATAACCCTTGTTCTGGTACTTTGGCTAATTTAAACAGCTTGCTTAATACATTTCGAGCTCCACGAAAGTTTGTAGCGTTATCGCTAAATATGGTTGAGCTTTTCCCTCTCCTAGCGAAAAATCTCTTTAGGGTAGCAATTAATGCTTCCGAAGATAAGTCTGAGACAATTTCTAAGTGAATTGCTTTTGTAGCAAGGCACACAAATATTGCAACATACATTTTTAGAAAAACTTCTTTTCTTTGATTTTTTGCCTTTATAAGAAACGACTACAAAAATCGAGTCCACATTTGTTATAGGTTGATTCAACTGACACTCGCTCAGCAGGAAGATCACCCATTATCTGATTTATTGGTACAGGTCTGTGTTTGAAACACTGTACGCATTCATGTACTATTTTTCTAGCAAGATTCCTGCCGCCTGATGGGCCAAAACTTTTGTCTAACAGTACTCAATAGAGCTTCTGGTCCAAGATGCAAATACTTCAGATGATAATAGTACATGATCAAATAAGTCAACCTATGTCTAGCTGGCAAAATGATTGGATATTTACAATCATAACTTACCTGAGATTGCGCAAGTCTGCTACCGACGCGCAAGATTCCATCATTATCGATGAATGGATTTAACGATTTAAGCTTGCTCCTACGAGGTACCTGGCTATCCCTCTTAAGTGACTCAATATCAGAATAAAACTCACCTTTCTGCACTTCCCGAATCAATTTTAACTCGGCCCCTTTCCGCTCCTCTAAGGATACAGGCCCTGAAACCCTTTCCTTATTCCTAATGATTCTGAAGAACCTAAAATTAAAACTACAAATTTTGATTAATTTCATATAATTATTTGTTCGGTTTAAGAGAGAGGTTAAACTAGAATTATTTTCTAATATTTCAAAATTAGAGTCTGATAAACATTTCAGTTCCTTGACATAGTCATTATCAGTGGTAGGCTCAAGAGGTTGTTCTGGATAATGCATGTCCTCACGGAGAAGGTCTGGTCCATTCCACCAGACATCACACGTAAGAATGTCACTAGCATACAGTCCACGCGATATGACATCAGCTGGGTTACATTCAGATGGCACATATTTCCATTGGTATGACCCCGTAAGCTCTTGTATTAAAGCGACTCTGTTACTCACGAAAATTTTTAGTAAGGTGTAGTGATTTTCTAATTCAAGCAAGAGAAATCGTAGAATCAGACCAAAGAATTACTTTTTCTACTTTAACATTCAACGAAGATATCACTTTATCCATCAATCTGGATAACAGAAGGCAACCTGACAGTTCCAATCTAGGAATTGATAAGGTTTTTATAGGTGCAACTCGTGACTTGCTACGCAAAAGTCGAACGGTTGGCAATCCCGAAACTGGCAAAGCTTGAACATAGATTGCAGCTCCGTATGCTGAAGATGACGCATCTGCAAATCCATGGAACACTATGTGATTTTCCTGGAATACAAATCTAGGAATCTTAAGATTACTTAGTTCAGAGAGCGTGGATACGAAATTAATCCACTCCTTGGCCACAGAATCTGGCAATGTGTCATTCCAATCGAGTTTAGCAAGCCAGAGCCTTTGCATGAATATTTTGGCCTTTGTGACCACTGGACCAATTAAACCAAGTGGATCGAACATTTTCGAAATTAGTGACAGAACATCTCGTTTACTATAACTGTTAGAGTGAGGAATGGTCATTGCAAACAAAAAACAGTGAATCTAAGGATTCCATAGGACACCAAGAGTTTCTACGGACGAAGATTCTTGTTGCTTTTCAAAAGTGTATTCTGAATGAGCGGTAACCTTATTTTCAGACACAAGCAGATCTGGATGATTTGCAGGCCATTAATGCAATTCCATTTTTCCTAATTTTAACAAATCTATTAATTGGGCTTGTAGAATTCTAGCCCTTTCGAGTGATGATTCTCCGGAAAGTATGTCGTCGATATAGAAGTCAGTAAGAGCGACGGACGATGCTAGAGGTAAGTTTTGGCTTTTATCTATAGCTAACTGTTTAAGAGCTCGATCATTTTCCGTAATCAGACCACAGTATTGTGATTCAAGTGGGGAATTATGCACAATACTACTACCTACGAATCCAAAAACTGTTTCCTGGAACAATAAGTCTTTTGTCGCGCTGCGAAATTGACCCGATTTTAATAAGTCAAAGAAACATTCTGCCCCCAGTAATAAATCAATTTTCTCAGGTGTGTTAAATCTGTAATCAGCTAAGGAAATATCCCTGGGGATGTCAATATTTTCAATAGGTATGGGGGTAAGGGGAGTCATTTCTGTAATTTTGGGAACAATAAAAAAATCAAGTTCTCTAGAGAATGTTTTTTCCCTATTGGCAATTGAAGTCCTCAATTTATAATTTAAAGTAATATCAGTTCCATTTAATCCTGAAATCGGAGCGAAAACCTTTGTTTTTTTAATCCCTAATTGTTTTGCAAAATGATCAGACACACAGTTAATCTGTGAGCAGCTGTCCAGAAGAGCATTTTCTTTGATGAATGTCCCTTTCGAAGATTTCATCATAACAATCGCAGATGGCAAGATAACACTTTTATTCGTAGCTAATAAACAGTTTGAAAGACTCGTCGCCTTCCCATTAGGCGCCGAAGAAATATCCTTCCCGCCAGCTGTCTTCTGCTGTATCGTCTGCGAATGTTTATTTGAAACAGAATCCGAATTCGATGACTCATCCTTATGAAGCAATGTATGATGTTTTGAATGGCAAATATTGCAAAAACTATTCGATCGACATTGCGGAGCAATGTGCTTTTTTCCCAAACAGTTTAGACATAAGTTATTTCGTTTTACTAGCGTAAATCTTTCACCAAAATTCATATCAAGGAATTTACTACATAGGGAATGTGGCGAATTACATATAACGCAGTTTCTTTCCGAAATATTTGAATGAACAAGAAGGTTTTTTGGTTTTATTTCATTCGTTTGTTTTGATTTTACTTTTTTTTTTTTTTTTTTTTTTTTTTTTTTTTTTGATATTTTCCAAAGTTTGACTTCTTTTTTCTAATGCCCCTATCACTTCTATGGACGCGCGCGCTTACCCGGGATAATTCCGAGCGAGAAACGAGATTCTAGTAGCACGGCTTTAAGCGGCAGGCTTCCGAGAAATGTTTCGTCTAGCTAGGAGGAACCTGTCCCGCCTACGAGCAACATTTTAAAATTTGTCCGAAAATGTTCCGGCTGGAGACGTGTTCCTCGAACGTTCAACCAATCAGACGAAAGTTCTGCTTCTGAAGGATCACGGGTAACTTTCAATATGGCGATGACTCTCACTGTGAAGTGATGGATGGTGGAAATAGAGGCCGATTTAATTATTGCTGTTTTGTTGTAATGCAACTGCCTGAGTCATTTTTTAAATGTATATATATTCATTAAAGTCTTTCTGACCCCTAAATGACCAGCTGTTTTCGCGTCGTGTAATTCCTGCAAAATGCTTAATCGAAGCGAGGCTGGGATGACTGGTTTATATTCGAAATTTTCGTTTGTTGTTTTCGTATAAAATAGTAAATTATCTATTATTTCATAGTTTTCTGCTCTACTTCTTATTGAATCGATATCTGTGTGTTCAAAGCTTTCGGGTCTTTCAAATAAGTATAGATACTTCCAAACTCAGGATCAGCTTTCAATTCGGCAATAATTGTTTCTCTAGAATCTAAAATTTTTTAAGTCAACACAGCGCATTTAACTTCAAAAATTTTCATTGCCTTCATCGTCCAGTTTTATACGAGATAGTGCGTCAGCAACATTGTTTTCCTTACCCGGTTTATATTTAATTACTAGGTTATACTCTTGAAGTTTTAAAGCCCATCTTATTAACCTGGGCTATAGATTTTTCCCGAGTAAAGTCTACCAACAGCCGCATGATCCGAAAAGACTGTTACTGGCGCTTTGCCGAAATAAACTCGAAACTTGTGTACAGCCATTAATACGGCTAATGTTTCTCTCTCTGTAGCTGTATAATTCCTTTGCGTAGGGTTTAAAGTTTTACTAAAAATTACCAAAGGATGGCCATTTTGCATGAGAACCGCACCTACGACATAGTCCGACGCATCTGCTGCAATTTCCAGGTTTTCCTCCCCCTTCCGGGAATTTCAAAACAGGGGCATTGATGAGTGCTTCTTTTAACCTTTCAAATGCAGTATTTGCCTCTGCTTTCCACGTAAATTTCAGTTACAAAGTTCCACTGTTCAAATCCTGTAATTGCTGTGCCGAGAATACCGACTAACTTATCAATCAAAATTTTTTCGTTTTCAATAACCTCTCTGTCACTTTCTTCACTATCGGAAGCGCGCATGTGTAAACGCTTTACTGGCATTACGCGCATGGGTATCAGATGCGCGCATTAAACGCACAGGCGTAAACACTTCATGTGCATGCATAAACGCTTTACGCGCATGCGTAAGTTTGTGGCTTTGAGGTTCGGATTATAGATCATTCCGGATAATGGACATCTGGATTACGGACTTTGTACTGTATATATAATCTGTGACAATATTCTAATATTACGTATCCTAATACACAGAACAGTGTAATCTTGCATATTCCTATATTACGCAAGATTATACCATTCTACACACATTTTCTTAAAGGTTTGAACATGAAAATGACATTAAAAATTTTCGACTGGCTTTCACGTCGGTGCAACAGAAGAGAAAGTGGTGTTTATTTGCCTCAATTTGACTAAGCAAAGAAATATTTTTGAGCATCTGGCAATTTCACAATAACAAGGCAATAGCTGTTTAAATATGCACATAGTAATTACTTGCTGATTAACAGAGGCAATTTTTATCAAAGGCATAAATATCACATCGCAATCCCTGTGTGCGTTGGGAGGAAAGGACCAAGCTACCTGAACAGTGCAGATCAGCACTTACACATGGAAATTTAGAGTGCAAAGGGGGGGAAAATTTACTTTTTGTAGGGTGATGCACTTCAGTCTAGTGACATTATTGATTTATGATGTGCTCCTCAAAAAAATAGATTAACAAATGCACTTCAGTGTTGAAATGATACCAACACATGTTCTAATGTTAATGGAACACATGAAGCTCTCTGAACTTACCAGGACTCCAAGCTACACTTTTAATAACTTCTAGTGCTACATTAATTAGCAAGCATTGCTTGTCCTTTTGTTTATTTTTTTTGGGGGGGGAGGAGGATGTTAATTTTATAGCTAAAATAACTACATATTCTATTTCCTCATTACATTATTTTGATTCCCCTGTGAAGAACACAGAGAAAAACTGAGCAGAATAATAATATATATATAAGCATATATTCATATCTTTACATATAATAAAAGAAAGAGTCTGTCTGTGTGTGCGTCTTTTGTTCGCGCTGCGCATAAGCTAATAGACCCACGGCTACGAAATTTGGTACATAAGTGCATCTAGACAAGAGCCAGTGCACCTCGAAGCGATTTTTTCGAAATTCGAATTTTTTTATTTTATATTTTGTGACGAAATCGCGTCATTTAGAGACATAATGGGCTATAGGAAAGCGAGATTTTACTCCACACATTCCATTTTCACATCGTCATGAAACGTAGGCACTTAGCTATTTTACGAACTTAAAATAAATTTCGTGTTTCAATAAATCGATTAAATACGAATTTATTTAACAAAGTGAGCTTAACACCTTTTCAACGGGATTTTTTCTAAAAAAGTTTATTTTTAAAAATATACAATTTAGTTTTCTTTGATTTTTGGACACGTTAAACTTTCATCCTTGCGATTGCTTTCACAAAAAGAATTTTGGAAAAATGATAATATTTTGTACTTTAAAAAAAAAAAAAAAAAAAATTAAATGAAACTTTCAAGTACATTTCTCACATCTTTAAAAATGTGATTTTGGCAACAATTTTCCTTTCTTATTGTTGTTGCTGGACTTTTGATGAAATCACATCATTTTAAAGTTTCATTTTTTTAGAAATATGGGTTTGGCAACGATTTTTCATCTTATTTCTTATATCACTGTTTTTAAGAGAATGATATATTTCATTGTCCTATATATATATATTTATTGATTTTTTTTTATAAAGTTGTTCTGCAGAGTAAAATTCTGTGCAGAATTTTATGTTTTTTTAGTTGCTTTCATGTTATTTTTTGTTTATTTCACTGTTCATAAGGTATAGAAAAGTTTTGCATGATTTTTTTCCTTCAATGAAAAGTTGGTTAATTTTTTATTAGGATAATTAGTATTTGTATTAAGGGATATAGCTTATTTCATTGTAATATTTTGCTCTTGAAAATATAAGATAAAATATCATTAATTATACTTTGCTTTTCAGAATTTTTTGTTTTTTGTATTCTTTTATGTTATTTATTGCTCATTTCACTGTTTTTAAGATATTGAAAAGTTTTGAGTGATTTTTTTAGGAAACAAAGTTCTTAACCTCCTTTATGCCACTTGAGTTCTTAAGATTTTGCAAAGGGAAGTTGATTAATTTATTTATTAGGATAATTAATATTTGTATTAAGGGATATTGCTTATTTCATTGTAATTTTGTTATACATAATAACTTCTTTTAATGAAGTTGTTCTGCAGAGTAAAATTCTGCGCAATTTTTAAATTTAATATTTGGTGATCCCTTCAGACATTTTTCCGGTACATTTAAAAGCTAGACGAAGGCTGGCAGCGAAGCTGCTAGTATATATATATATATATAAAGAAATATAAAAATAGGCCAAAAAGTTGAATTAAATCATTTTTTAAAAACCCGTCTGCACTATAGCTATATATTTGTGTGTGTGTGTATAGTTAGTGTTTTGTTGCAGAAAGGATGTGTTTTAAAAGCGTCACTTGGTTTGCAAAACTAAAAGAATAACATCAATTTGGCTGGCTAATAATACTGTTAAGCAATTTCATAAAAACTGTATAAAGACTGGAAATCATAAATTAACAGTTTTTTTTTTTTTTTTTAACTTTTGAATTATGTTCATTTCCTCAGTATATGCTTGTAACAGAATCTAAGCATAGCAAATACCTTTTTCAGCCAGAAGAAAGATTGCAATTAAATTACATAATATATACAGGCATACAACCAACTTACGAATAATATTCATTAGAGGAAGAAGGTTTTTTAAATTATTAATGTTGAGAACCTACTAATATATTAATTGTCTAAGTAATCAGCCAATTAATTCCAAGGAATTTTGAACAAATTTAGTAAAATAAATACAGCTAGAAGTATAGCAACATAAAAGCGGCTTTACAGGATTAAATGAGTATAAGATGTATGTAGAATATTTCACCAAATGAGGTTAACAATTACATTTGCAATTGTTTATTATTCATTAACTTTTGTTCCATATTAAAATAACATTCCTCATAACAATAATTACTAAGATTTTTGTTAGCTGATTTAATAATAGAATAGTTCAGAAAAATTATAGCATTATTAAATCAGCTGAAATTAAAACAGAAACTTATTTTCTCTTGCAACAAACTATAACAGTATATATTAACAATGATTCTGCACACAAATAAATGAATTCAGTGTGGCTGCATTTATTATAAAAATAATCTAACAAGTTTTATTTTCATCACTTCCTAACTTTTATCATTTTATGTTTACATTACTCTTATGAAACGTATGAATAATTTTGAAAAATATGTTAGAAGCAGCAGTTTACACAGACATTAAATCTAAATTAATTTAGTTTTCATAACAATGCCAAAAAAGTGGGAAATAAAAAAAAATTAGTTACTCATGGAAAGGACAAGGTCTAATTATATTAATAATAGAAATAATTTACGTTCACTAGGAATATGAAGCAGAGTGAATGAAAGTAAGATTAAGATCTATGCTAATAGCTAAGGAGATAAAAATTTTATCAGTTTGAATTGTTCAGTCATACTACTAGTAATTCCAATTATAGTAAAGAACGCCTGACAATGCTAACAGTTAAGGAGATGAAAAAATTTAACAGTTTGACAAGTTAAGTTATGCTACTGCTAATTTCAGTTATAGCAAAGGATGCCTAGCAATCATTTATATGATAATGTGCAATAGAAATTGATTTTTTACACTACAAAGAGATCAAAGCATACAGTAATAAGAATAATTAAATTTTATAGCACTTCCACAAATAAATTACAGCATTTTACAATATATACTACAAATCATAATAGTGTAACATTTAAAAGGGTTTTAGCACATAGAGATTTTTAGCTCACAATATTTTCCCATTGTTTTACACAATACTTATCTTGATAATGAAATTGGGGATATTTCTTTCCTCACAATTAAAAATTTGCATTGTATTCAGTATTACTACACATCTTTGATAATAACAACAGAACATCTAAAAATATAATTTTTAAAAATTAATTTCTGAAATGACAAATATCTAAGAATTCTACTTCCAAGAAATCTGAAGAAAAATATGAAACAATGTAAAACTGTTAACTTTTGCAGTTTAATTCAAAACAAGTGATTGGAAATATAAGATTTGGATAAAGCACACTTTTTGCTTAACATTTATACTTATTACATTTTCATTTACAAGCTTTATTTTCACCATATTAACAAAACACACTCTTCTAAATCTACTACAAAGACAAAATTCCATAAATCTACAATATTTTACATATAAGCAATAACTTTTACATTATCCTGGCAATAATAATTTTTTATAAAAATAACTTTAACTAAGTTTGTCTATGGTATAGTCAAGATATATAACATACTTCTCTGCTGTTAAAAAATTAGAACTAAATTTTCAAGATCAACTTTTATGCACTTAATATAAACATTGGCTCAGTTCTAGAATTCTATAATTTCTATGCAATACTTACCAAATAAAATCGTTTTAAGACAAATACTACACACGATTACCATAACAGCAAACCTTTATCCAATAACAGTTTCTGACCAAGAATTCTACGTTGTGAAAAAAATTTAAAACACTACATAAAAAGGTCTCTGAATATTCTCCTTCATTTCCATTCAAAATTTTTAAAAATTGAATGGAATTCCTTATAGCGCAGTAGATAAAAGTTTCAATAATGTATATAATAACACAGAAAAAGAAGACAATAATGTAGTCAGTATGTAGTTAACAATTCAGCGGTTTCAAGATTAAACAATTTTTCCTTCCCAAATATGTGTGATAACTGTCAGCCTTAAATTTGTAATGCAAGCTGTGTTCATTTCTGTCAGCTGCAATACATAACTGGAATGCTGACTATTAAAAGGGTTAATATTCAAGCAGAGTATATCTTCTCAATATTTCATCAAGATAGCTTATATTTTGTTGCATTTCATAACTAATTACATTATTTGCTACAGACTGAATTTATATGGATGGAATTTTGTAACTGCCCCTTGACATTATAATTGTTTCACAATAAAATGGCAACTTCTAGTTACACAAAAATACACAACCAAAATGACTCGCATATATATCCACACTGTTAATTATCATTCATTATTAGATCCCAGTATTATAGTGATAAAAGAAATGCTTGCAAATAGTTGTTGATTTTCATTTTGAAGTTCTGATGAGGTATTTACTTGGCAATAATTAGTGTGAAATATTACAGCTTATTTCAATATTGAAAGGGGAACTTGCCACGCCACCAAAATGGTCCAAACCTACTTTGAACTCCAACTGAAAACTAACCTCTTTAATTTTTACTCCAGTAAACATAAAATTAGCTGGAAAAATTAATGAAAACAGATGCTTTTCTAGCATTACACATGTTCAACAATTATAGTTGTCACATTAAAATCTTGATTTAAAGATCAAACAATAATAAAAAGTCAAACAAATTGAAATGTATTTTCATATGATCATTGCATTAAAAGTCCACATTTTAATGATCACTGGCATATCCACTGAAACAAGGGGAATCCGTTGCATAAATACTTTCAGAAGCAATTTTCGTAAATCATTCCAAAAAGTTTAATGAGGCTCTCATGCCATTTGTAAAACAAAAAGTTTTTTTGTAAAAGCATCAAACTCATCTTCTTGCTTAAAAGTACATTTCATAGTTGAATTTACACATCTTACAGGGATTGATTTGAATTTTGATTCTGCCACTACTAGTGCTACGAAGACAAAAATGTTTGATAATTAGAAAATATGCAAGCTTGGAAGAATTCTGTTGTGGAGGCAAAAAGTATCTTTACCTTAACTGCAAAAATAATTTTCTGGGGGAAATTTAAATATGCACAATCAGAAGAAGGAAGGGGAGAGGAAATAACATACCACACACCACAACCAAAAAAAGAAAAAAAAAAAAAAAAAAAAAAAAATGCAAATTATTTTATTGCATGAAAAATGAATGAAAGATGAAAGATATAAATAAATTCTGTGTTATAAAAAAATTTTAGAAAAAAGTCAGACATCTAAAATTTGGCTTAAACAGTTCCTGGCAATCAGCAATTTGAGTAATATTAATGTTTAGTTAATGGTCTAAAGTTATTCCAAACTACAGGGTTTTCTACAGTCATCTCTGAGTATTGAAATAGAAAATCTATGATCTCTTTATTTCATTAGCAAAGCCACAAGACTATTTCTCACATAGTTAGCATAGCTGTCTACTGGATAAGAATTCTTATTTAACAACAGAACATGGAAAATACTTTTTATGACAAACAGTGTTTAGAAATTAAACTTCAATGTTTAGAAAAATTAAATACATATGTTTTAAATATTTAAAACTTTCATAACACAAAATGTGCTACAAAACTATTCTGATCTATATTTATCATTACAAAAATATATGCTTAGCTCACAGATTATCATGAACATATAAAGCAGTTTTTCTGTTGTTGCAAACAACACAGTGTAAAATTTACTTTTACAATATATCTAACAGCAACCTTATTCTTTAGTTTTGGGACAACTGATCCTGTGACAAATGCTGAGGCTGTTAGTATCAATAATAGCTTTTTTCACTGTAAACTACCAGCTTTAGATATAGACCACTACTTAATCAACTTATCTGAACACACAGCAATATCCCACAAATTTGTTTTTTACTATCTGCAATTATATCAAAATTTTTGCTCTAAAGCCAGATCTAAATAAAGTTTGTATAACTACTGAAAAAGTGAGAATTTTCAATCTCTCTTTAACTGAATAAATGGTGTCCATCATATCCAAAATTATATTTAAAAATACTTGAATTGATAATTAATAATGTTAAAAACAATTAATCATGCATGTACTAGAAACTTTAAATGTATTCTTTTTTGAGGGATGATTACAAAGCAATAATGAGAGAATATTTGATGCAAAACACACACACACACACACAGAAAAAAAAAAAAAAAAAAAAAAAAACGTAGATTTTTGCATTTTTAAATAAGAGACCTTTCCTTCAAACTAGAAAACACCATAGTAGCTATTCACATCTTCAGTTGCTAATTTCTTGAATTTTGAAGATATATTTATTTCAAGCTCGAGATATTAAGTAACCAAAAACTGAAATTTATAATAAAAAAGTTTATTTATCCAATACCTATATCTATGCCCAATAATACTCCTAGTCATTTTTCCATATTTTTATGAAAACATAGACATATGAGTGTCAGTGATATCGCCAAAAAATACTAGATATAAAGACAGACGGTCTATATATATATATTTAAGTCATACATTGACAAGTTTCAAAGAGCAAAGCTGGTAAATAAAAATGTTAGACTACCAAAAACTAAAACACAAACTAAGAAATCTTATTACCGTATTTTCAACAGTTCTCTGGCACCAATATATTTTGCAATGTGCACTGAAATTCAACTTGCTATAGTTATAAAAATTATTTGCCTCTGTACTGGATAAGGGTTTAACTGCATTTTTTTTCATTAATTTATTATCTTAATAAAAGCAGACTTTAGAAAAAAATTTTACATGGGAAAAATAAGACCAAATGTGAAATTAAAAAAAAAAAAAAAAAAAAAAAGAAAAAGGAAAAAAAAAATCATTTATATATAGCTTAAGTTATTTTCAAATAAACGGAGGGAGAGGATTTTTCCCTGATAGTATGGAAGCCCCATACTAAAAGAAAACAAACACTTGGCAGAGAAACGCATTAATTTTTTATTCAGAAGGAGCAACGTAATTAGTATTTTTTTAACCCGTATGTAGCAACAAAAGTGCTTCAGAACAAAATCTCTAACTCATAGAGAGATATTAGTACAATGACACACATACCATTTAGCATTTCCACTCAAAATACCGCTACATTAAATCATGACATCATTTTCAACATTGCCGTAACCAATATTATAATACATGCAAATTTAAATAAATTTTAAAACAGTACTCAGGTGATAAAACATAGCAAATCATCAAATGTTGTTGCTATTTTAGAAAGGAATTTTATATTTTTAATTAGTACTTACAAACATAAAAGAAATATTTACATCATTTATAATCTATTTTAAATAAATGGAGGAAAAACACAACAGTAAATAATTACATGCATAATGAGTAAAAGAATTCAATTTAAAAATAGAGAGAAATATGAATATCTTTAAAATTTTAGCTACTATAAAGTTTTATTACAGTAATAGTTATAGGAAAACGGCTTTGTTAATTTTTTTCAAAAATATGCTCAAAATGATTTAGTTTAAGATAACTGAGAAGGAGGAAGACTGTTAAGATAAGTTTTAACTAAGATATTCAAATTTTAATATTTCTTACATTTATTCAGAATTGAGGCTTGTATCAAATAACTTTCTGCTTTATTTTAAGATTTCTTATTTTCATTAATAGTTGAAATAGAAAATATGTTTAAAAAGGCAATTCATTCTGCATAATAAAAATGACTTGTGAGCATTTCTGCAATATTCTTTACTTATTATTTGCATATCATGCTAAGCTACTCATTACAAATTATTATTATTTTTTTCTGAAAACTTGAACATAAGTGATAACCTTGAAACAAAAATGATAAACTTCAAGATGCAAAAATTATGTCTCAAATACCTAAACTAAAATTTTGATATTGCTTACAATTACCTATTTTTTTTCTTCTTACTGTCTAGTATTTAAGGAACTGCACTAATATGGCATGCATCTTTGTTCAGCTAAGAAAAATGAATAATACATTTAGAATTATAAAGTTTCACTGTGTCTTGACAGAACTCAATCACCTGGATAAATTTAACCATTTAGCACCTTTTTTGTTTCCTTGATATAAAAGTATGCATAAAATAATAAGCAGGATTAAAAGATAATCAGTAACAACCTCATATGCAGTACATGATTTTCTTTAACCATCTAAACTGTTTTACGTTACAGGAAAGTATAGAGTAAATATGAAATATACTAAATTGATAATAATTTTACATAATTTAAAATGAATTGAGACTCATGTGTGCTTATAATCCGAATTAAGCAAAAAAATATACACCACCTTTTTTTTTAAAATTGATTCTCAATATTTTTTAATGACAATAAAATTGACCAAGTAAAACTGCTTATTTTCAGTACATTCTGAAAAGATCCACTGCCATTGCATGTTCAATTTCTTTAAACAACATCAAAAACAATTTATTATACAAATGCTCTGAAAACAGAGTCTATTTTCTCTGGGCAGGAAATTTACATAATTAAAATTAAATGTTATAAATTGTCCTTGTGCCAAACCCATCTTTTATTAGTGTGATCAAAGCTATGGTTAATCCACTGTTGTTGTAAAAGATTATAACGATCTTCACTCAAAAACAGCGGTTTGCCACGTCTAAAAAATAATTCAAAAAAATTAATATTACAAAAAAGAAAGATAAATAGATACATAAAACTAAAATCATCATTACAAAAAATGCATGTATGAATTATAAGAATTTATAAGGATAAACAGCATTTTTAAATAAATGAATATTTTTTACTAATAAAATATGATTAGAGAAAATATAAATTTATATCCAACAGCAACTCCATCCACTTTTGATTTCAGGATGGCATGATTTTTAATTTCTCTATTCCTTTCTCCAATTTTTGGTCAGAATTTGCAATGTTGTCCAGTGGCATAACACCCCCCCAACCACCACCACCAAAAAAGTTCCATGGTTTCCAGATATTTTTCCAGACTCTTAATGCAACAGCAGTTTTTGAAACTTCTGCAGAGTCTCATTTTTGTAATTTTAACAAATTCATAAATGAAAATATTCCACTTTTTCTCTTTCCAGAATTTCTCCTTTGACCCACCAAGGAGGATTCCTGTTTTAAACCACAATACTGTTGTATAAATAAAATATTATATAAATTTTTAGTGCCTGCAAAACGCTTATTATATAAAAATAGCCATTGCCAGTACATTAGCTAACTAATACATCAGCAGCATTCTTTGCATATTAGTTAATTCATCAACAATCCATTGTCTCCTTTTTTTGCTGATGAAATATATTTTTGATGTCAAAAGATTGATGAAATAGGTATTTTTAATTTCCAGCAGGAACTGTTTGGCAGTTGCATTCTATATTGCATAAGATTATTTTCCTTTCCAGTTTGTCCCAATGAAATACCCTTTTTCATTATACATGCATACAGTCTATGCATGTAAACAACAATGAAATTTCAGTACAAATAATTTTCTACATTATAAGTCTTAAATACTGTATTATCTATTTTACTCTGACAGCTTCACTTGATATCTGATTTTCAGCCAATTGATTTTCTATGCAATTTTTATAGCTATTCTTCAATGTAACTTAAGTCTTAAGCATTCAGTGTAACTTAGCATTAAGAAATTTAATTTTAATAAAACATTTTACTCTAAAACAATATCACATATTTTGATAAATAAACTGCTCAGTTGCTATCTACAAAATTTCAGAATTAAATTGAAATGGTTCTTACAGTTCTCATGTTGTCAATACAATAAATAAATGGTAAAAACACCAAAATACTTAATTTGATGCATTCTATCTTTGTCTCAAACATGCCAAATATAAGTTGTTTCAGAATTCATTTGCTTACAAGAAGGATGGGAAGGATACACACTTTAACTCAAAAAATATACTGGCATTTAGACAAAAATATAATAGTCATTAAGCTACGTTCAGAAAAGAATATTAAAATATCAAATAAATGTTCATTTTAATGGCAACAGCAAACAAAAAAAATTATTGAAAGCTGTTCATAAACTTGCTAAATAATAAAGAAACATACTTCAGATCTCTGTCTTCTTCTCCATAGCTATCAAGATAGACTGAGCCCCAAAGACATGCTCGCTTTCCACGAATTACTATTATAGTTGATGAATTTACAGCAAGATACATTGCAGTCCCAGCACCACAAATAACAGAATGCTGAAAATAATAATCATACTTCAATAAATATAATAACTACAAATAATCCAACAAAATATATATGCAAAACTTTAATTAACAATACTGTAGTTATACATATCTAATTCAAATAGAAGTCTAGAAATTAGCATTTTTTTTAACATTGAAGAAAATGCGTATGGATGTTTTTTAAAGCAGGATTAATACTTTGAGGACATTAGAAACTGCATTTCTCCCGTGTAAACATTTATAAAAATTCAGTGTATCTTAGAATATCATGTCTAAAAGTTTCTCTGCCTTCTGCAGTATAATGTCAAGTAATTTATTTTATGCACCCCTTCCCCCCCCAAAAAAAAAGATTACATTTCTAAATTTTTTAGTTAAAGAAAAGATGACAGATTACAGAAAAAAAGAAGAGAAAGATAGTCAAAAAGAATCTAATTGCAATGACTGCAATGTACACCAACTAAAAAAAAAGGGGGAGACAGTTCTACATTTCCACTCTTACTTGGCATATAGACAAAATTAAATTTGAATTTCTCATGACTTGACATCTCGACTTGGGATACGTACTAGATTTTTACACAGCAATGTTCTAACGTATGTATTTTGACACAAAATTTTACTTTATGAAATGACAGGCTGATTTTATTTTATTTTATTTTTCTATTTTAACTCTGCACCTTAAATTATGCTAAAATGCCACATTTTTTAAAAATTTCACCAGTTTTTATTTAGCACAATTATAACAACTTTTAAATTTTACCTTCCATAATGTGCCCAAAATTGGAGCAATTGGATGACAAATTTATTTATGTGAATTTTTTCCCAAAGTTTGGCTTAGCAGCTTGAAATGTCCCTTCTCACAAGACAATGCATCCAGTTAACATGCCACCCTGAGATAGCAGTTCAGTGACTGAGCTACCTGTCACAAAAGGTTAACCACACTTTATGGTATTATACTGTGCTTTATGTGTATTAACCATACTTTATGATATCTTTTAAAGCACAATGCAGTTTTCAAAGGCATTGTAATGAATACTGGGTCACCTAGTATTCTTTTGAAGGGAATGCTATTCAAATAAGAAAAATCAAATTAAAAATATATATATATGAACAAACATGCTTTAAATACACTTGCAAATGAATAAATAGAAATTTTTAAAGTCACTATAATTAAACTATGCAACTCAAAAAGTTAAAATGAAATTCTAAAAAGAAAAAAGTAACTAAAAATAAAAATTGTGATTAAAAAATTACATGCAAGAAAAGACAATATTTTTTTCCCTGCTCACACAGAATGAAAGGGAAATCATAATAGGTTGCCGTAAACCTATAAATTTGCCAAATGAATTATTCTAGGCAGAAAGTAAAAAAAGGTGCAGTACGGCAAATTTTCCAATTACTGCCAAATTTTACTTAAATTTGTTCTATAGGCATAATTTGAGTGGTAGAATGGAAATACATAAAAAAATTGGCATGTTATTTCCGAAAATGTCCGATTTTGTTTCAAAATATGTATCTGAGAACAGTGTTATATGTAAATATATATCCTAAGCCACGCTTTCTAACCATGAAAAACGCAAATTGAATTTTGTCAATCGAGCAAGTAGAATGGGAAATACAAAACTTTCTAATTTTTTTTTAGTCGTTCTACAAACTGATAGTTCAGAAGAATAAAATTATGGTATTGATTTAAAATAACACGTAATCATAAGCAGGCTCTATTGTTGTTTGTAAACCCAAATTCACTGTAATTAAAATATTCATTATATATATTTTGATACTTTGATTCAAATTACTGAAATTAAGTACAGTCAAAAGTCTTTAATCCAGACTCGTCGGGACTTCGGCGATTCCGGATTATCGATTGTTCCGGATTATAGATCATCAGTTTAAATCTGGTAAGATGGCATGCAGAAATTATAAAATTAAAAATATGAAACCAAAACTTAAGAAATAAAGAGCAATTATGATTTAAAGGGTATCAAAATTTAAAAAAAAAAACTTAATATTTATTTGTTTACTTTATTAAACATTTCTTTCAACGCGTGCATGCGTAAAGCATACATTACGCATAGTCGAAATTAGAAAATTGCAACCAGAAAACTATTTGATGTGTTATAATGATGAGGAATTTGATTTAAATCATATCAAAGACGGAGTACATCGATTTGAAATAAAACAAAGGAGCCTTTATCCATTTTTTGCAGCAATTCCACTTTTTGTTTGATGGACATCGAAACATGCTTTCCCTTTGTAGATCCAGCATTGGAAATTTTATTTCACATAATCGAAAGTTTCAATTTACTTTTATAAAATTGCTCTAACAGTCTGCAAAAAATACTAAGCCGGATCCAATTCGAAGATTAAGGAACAACACAATCTTCAACATTAACTGAAATAGATAATTAGATAATTTTAGCTTAGCTTATACCGTCCGTTATACATTAAACGCACATGCGTAAACGTATTATGTGTATGCGTAAAGGTATTACGTGCATGCATGAACGCATTGTGCGTTGATGCATGCGCAGAAAGTTTGTAGCTTTCAGGTCCGGATTATAGATCATTCCAGATTATGGGTGTCTGGATTAACGACTTTTGAGTGTAGGTGCTCTCTTATAATGAAAAAATGTATATAATTAAATTTTGGTAAATTTTACAAATGATTTTTCTTTCTTATCATATGCATTTTTAGTTTTATGCATAAATAATAATTATCCTGATATAAACTATTTGGGAGAAACAGAAATGAAAGCAATGATGATGCTGCTCTTCTTAACTATCATTAACAATTATTTTTCAACATAGGAATAGTGACAACTTAATCTTTTAATTTAAAAGTTCTTTCGTCTGAAAAATTAAGACACAAGATTACTTAATCTCAGAGACAAAATTTTCTATAAATAAAAGTAATACGCATTACTTTTGGTTTTCAGAGGTAAATAAGCAACTTTTTAAGCAACATTAAAACAAAAGGAGGCGCTACACATTTTTAGTTTCAAGGTGCATATTTCATCCTCAATGTTTATCAGAAACAAAATACAAAACACAATATAATTTACTTTTCTTATGAATAGCATCAATTTTTATCTTTTATCAGTCCCTGAGTTCATTTACAGCATTTAAAGAACAAGTATTCCCCAACTTCACAAAAGATTTTCTTTTATGAATGACATATATTATCTAGAACAGAAATAAAATCACAGAGGACTTTTGCTTTCATGAAAAATTCCAAAAAGCAAAAAATCTAGTTTAGTGTAAAGAGAAAGTGAAAGAGAAGCCAGTGCTACAATAAGAGAACACGATAAAAATGAGAGGCATGAAGTCAAGCTACTGGTGACATCTACTGATGAAAATTAGAATAATTTTGAAATAATTTCCTTAAAATCTGAAAGTAAAGATGGATTGGAATTGGGATCATTAATTAAAATTGAAGAATGTGAAACACATCTGGAAACTCTAATTTGCCAATGGAAATAATTTTTTTGAATAATTTTGGCTGCAGAAGAATGAAAAATGTGATTTTCTGACCAACTGTGTTGGGCAACAAAGGATTCATGTGTTTCTTTTTTCTTAACATATGCTTTGTGTTTCTTAGTGTGAAATTTTAAGGCTTGTTTAGTTTGAACAATGCAAATTTAACTACATTGGCAAAGAATCCTGTATATAACCCATGAGTTCATATCCAGAATGGGGTCCTTAAGTATGGAACTGCAAATTTTATCAACAGAAGAGAAAACAACCTGAAGTTGAATTTCTGTATAATATGTGCAGTTTTATACCTAATCGAAGGAAAGGAATGACAACAGAAATCTTACGATTTCCTAAAATGAGAGGGTGCTTTTTGATGTGTTGAGATGAGAAGTTTTTAACCGCTTGGTCAGTAAAGGTCTTAGGTTAAACATCTTTGTCAATAGCAACTGCTTTTAAGAAATTTAATTCTTATCAAGAGCCAATTTGGAGGAGCAAACTTGAAGTGCATGGAATGTGAACGAAGTCAAATGACCAGATTTGAAGCATACTGGAAAGCAAATAGATAAAGGTAAAAAAGTAGTACTTAACACTTTACTGACTGCTAGCGGTTCAACAGCATACGCACATTCGACCGGCCGCTCCCGCAGATTCTTGCTGTTCCGAATAACTGTCAGGACAATCTGATAAATTGTCTAAATAAAACTCGCCAGTACCATTTTTTTCACTCATTGTTAAACGTAATTTTTTTAAAAACAATGTGAAAACGTGGTTGCTTACGAAGCAACACACTTAACGCAAGTGAGCAATGTACCTCAAAACTATAATAATAAAATGCAAATGATATAGCAAATGGCAATTGTTTATCGCCATGGCTACCGATTGATAGACTATTTTTAGGTAATCCCAAGGAAAAAAAAGCAATTAATAGGCTATTGATTGGTAGGCGTTGGCAAAAAAAGGCCGATTAATATTGGTCGGTAGGCATTGGTGAAAAAAGCCGATTAATAGGCTATCAGCCGGTACAGTGTTAAGTTAGTTATATTACACCTGATCAAAATTTCCAGAAATGGAAGAGCATTGGATGTCCTAAGTCCAAAAGTGAACTGAATAGCAGAATCAATAAATTTTGTTATTGAAAGAACGAAATTTAAATCCTCTTTATAACTGTCAAGCAGGGTATTGTCAACACTGCAGAATGATACAGGGGAAGCTTATGTCAAATAATTTTCATTCACAATAATGCATGTAGATATCGGCAAGGATACAACTAAGAGGGTTTCCTATGGCTAATCCCTCAGTTTGCTTGTCATACTTATTTTGAAAAATAAAATATATTTGATTCAGATAAGTACAGGAAATTAACTCCTCAATTTTGATAGAGGAGAAATGAAACTCTCAAAAATCTCACTTTTAGATATTTGCAGTTACCACTGAAACATTGATTTCACCAGCGGCCATGTGGTAAAATCACTGAACTCTGGTAGTTCCAACCTGGGTTCGATTTCAGGCATATGGGCTGGCAGTAAGAGCATTTTTTTGGTTTTTCTTATGCGTAACATGCATATGAGCTAGTTCTCTTAAAAGGTCCTCCATAAAGGCATACCTTCCCTTAGGCAGATAGCCCTAATGCACTTTGCCATAATCAATTAAACCTTGAAAAACATTGGTGAATAATGCTTTTACATCAAAAGAAACTACATTGAAATTCCTAGAGGAAATGCTTCTTACTTTTTTTATAAACTGTACTGAATTAGTTAGGGTGTGTTATTAACTAATAAAGTCAAAAATCTAGAAACCAAATATTTAGCTAATAGGTGCAAGGCAGTGCCTAAATTTGATACAATGGGATTCAATGGAATACCACTTTCATGAATGGTGGGTAGAGCATATAATCTAGGCATAATGTAATGGGATAAGCAATTTTTTTTAAGTGGATAAATAATTTTTTATTATGAATCAAAGTTATTTGAAATTTTAAACTTCCTTGTGTGGTTCTGCTATGTTGACGATACCTTTACCCTATTTGACAGTAACAAAGATTATTTAAATAAAGTTCTTTCAATAACAGATTCCACAGATCCAGCTGTTTATTTCATGTTTGAATTTGGGACATCCAATTCTCTTTCATTTTTCAACATTTTGGCCATATGCAACTTATCCAAATTCAGTACTACTGCTTACCACAAAACTTTAACTGTTTCCCTTTCACAACAATTCAGATCTTGTCATTCGACTAAACAGAGCATCATATTATTCCTATGCTTTCTGTGCATTTCAAGCTTGCTCCTCCAAATTGGCTCTGGATTAAGAATTAAATTACTTAAAGCAGTTGCAACTGGCAAAGAAAAGACTTTTCGTCTAACAATATTGACCAAGTTGTTAAAAAATTCTTATCTCAACACATCAAAAACACCTTCTCATTTTAGGAAATTACACAGTTGCCCTTCCTTTCTTTCCATCGATTAGCTATAAAATTGCATATATTGTAGAGATATTCTACTTTTAGGTCATTTTCTCTAGTGTTGATGAAATTCACAGCTCCATACTTAAGGACTCCATTCCAGATAGAATTCATGGAGAAAACATTGGATTCTTTGCCAATGTAGTTGATTTTACAATGTAATCAACTAAGACAGCCTTACAATTTCAAACTAAGAAACATGAAATATATGTTAGGGAAAAAGAAACACATCAGTCCTGTCGTTGCCCAACACTGCTGGTCAGAAAATCACATTTTTTTTATTTTCTGCAGCCAAAATTATTAAAAAAAACTTCATTGGCAAATTAGATTTTCTAAAGGTGTTTCACATTCTTCAACTCTAGTTAAGATTTCTAATTCCAATCATCTTTACTTTCACATTTTAAGGAACTTATTTCATATTTTTTCTTATTTTCATCAGTTGCTTGACTTCTCTCCTTTCATTCTTATGGTTTTATTTTATCACTGGCTTCTCTCTCATCATCTGTATGTATGCAGCTGAAGAAGGTTCTCTATTTAAACCTTCGAAACTAATCCTGCAAATTTATGAATATTACACTGACTGATGCTTTAACTCCTTGAATCATGTGAAAAATGTTAAAACGTTTACCGTATATATCTGCATATAAGTCAACACTTAAATATAAAACTTCAAAGTAGGGGATCGACTTATACACAGAACCTAAAAAAAAAAAAAAAAAAAAAAAAAAAAAAAGGAGGAGAGAGATGCTCCGCCGCCGATCGATGGATGACATGTCAGTGAACTTGATTCAATATTATCGTTCATACAGAAAAAACACAAAATTTTTATTTATTTATTCCATTTTATTTATTAGTTTTTTATTAAATTTGTTTCGATTTTATTTTCTGTTTATTAGAAAAGCCCCCTTTCATTTCATTATCTGACGTCACACAGCAATTCAGTCTGTAGAATATCTGTGAGGCACTCTTTGATTATTATAACCATATCGAATCAGTAACTGTAACATAATGTCTGTCTGTTTATTTATCTAAACGTATCAAAAGTGTGAGTGACAGTTTATCAAGTATATCGGCATACCATTTTAGTTGCAGCGGCGCTCATGAGACAAATTTGTTTTTCCGAAAATTTTTCTCAAAAGTCGAAGGATTGACGTATATGTGGGTATATATGGTAATTCATGCAATAAATTCATACAATTACTGCTTAAATCACATGAAAAATGTTATCTTTACATTCTTAAAAACCAAACTAACCAGCACAGCTTCATAGTGTGCTTGCTGCCGACAACAGTTCTCTCTTAAGCACACCATAGTACCACAAACAAGGCAAAGCGATGGGTCTTTAGGCTCACTGTGACAAACTCTACATGGTTTTTTGTGATAGTACTTGAAAATTTCATCATAGTTCTGAGGGAGTTTGAGCAGAGCAGGCGGATACCAAATAATGGGACGTTGCAACAGAACCTAAAAAAGGAAAAACAAATATTAACTTTTTTCAGTCCTACTTACATAATTTTCCAATTTTAATACATACATACATAGTTAAAGTGATAAATAAAATTTAAAATGCATCTTTTTGCCATAGTCCTTAATTTGTAATAAAATGTTCTATGTACTTTGAATACAAATGGGTAACATATCCTTTATTCAAAAGCAAATTCATCTGCTAAATAACTCAGAACCAACCTGAATTAATAACAAATTATATTGATTATAAATACTACACAAATACAGGGTGATTCAAAATGAATACAGCAATTACAAAAGGCTATAACTATTTAATTTAAAAGTATTCATTAATAAGAATTATACAGAATATAATAGAAAATTCAAAATTTTGTTTACATATTTTGTAATTATTCTGTGCGACTCCTCTTGGTAACACAGATAGCATCTAAGCTGTCATGCAGTCATGCAGTCTGAAGCATATATGGAGTCACTAATGCAAGTGCACTAGAAATGAACATTTTGAGTTCAGGAGTTGTTTCTGGCACAGGAAGAACATACAGAATTTTTTTTCTATGGGATTATGTGAAAGATCTTGTGTATGTGTTTCCTTTACTGAAAAAAATTCCAGAGCTCAAAATGCATATTTCTAATGTGCTTGCATTGGTGACTCCAGATATGCTTCAGAATATATGGCATGAAATGGACTACTGCTTTGATGTTGCCTGTGCTACCAAAGGCAGTCACACAGAATATTTATAAAGTATGTAAGTAAATAAAATTTTGAACTTCCTTTTACATTATGTGTATTTCTTATTGATAAATTCTTTTCAATTTAATAGTTATAGCCATTTGTAATCGCTATATTAATTTTGAATCACCCTGTATATCTTCTGTATTTTAAAGCAATGGGGTTTAATTCAAACAGGAAGTATGAAAGTATGTTATAGTCTTTTGCTTAAATTTTTACTCAATTGTAATATTTTTTATAAATAAATAAATAATTTTTTGTGATTTTAATTACTGCTAGTTACATTCAACATTATTTTTTTTAACAAAGCTAAGAATTTCATTCTTATTCTAGATTAAATTTGCTTTATTTGAACATATGATAATATAAACATTTAGAACTTAAATGTATTTAAAATTTATTAAACTTGAAATCAAACTACTTAAATTTGTCTGTTAAATTCAGTCAAGCATACACAGCCGTGCTGTATACGTGTGCAACATATATATACAAATAAAGGGATGAATTTTAATTTCAAGTAATTAACACTTTATTCGAAATTTTAAAACTAAAGGCAGAGAATTTAGTGTAATCAATTACATAACATGAACTATACCTTCAAATTATATTTGCAGATTTATATAATAACATAATAATAATAATGACTAATAACCTACTTTAAAATTATTATACAATAAAAATATAATTCATACATACCCTTGCAGCCATAACTGATTTATTGGCAAAATTCATAAAATCTTGACACCAAGTCCCAATTAGAATTCTGGGATCATGAACAACCCACTGTATGCATGTGGCTGCTGTAAATTCTAAGTTGAACAGATGACTGAGACCCAAAAACTGGCACAGATGCTGAAATTCACTTTCAGAAGGCTATAAAAATTAGACAAGCAAGATTTTAAAAAGAAGCTTTTTTCAGAAATTTAGTTAAGAAAGTAAGCACCTGAAATCAAAGTTTAACCAAATGACTAATATTCTGCAAGATACTACTGATCACATTTATTATTTACAAAATACCTTTTTTTATTTAGAAAAAATTATCTGTCTATTTCAAAATAATTCTTGTTTCTTTTACTTACAGGGGAAGATGGATACCAGAGGCATATAAGGGAAAAAAAACTGCAAAAGGACTTTACAATTTTTATTTTGTGCATAAAAAGAATTAAATGTCATTTACACAGGAAAGTTAAATACCTCTGTTGTAACTCTGTTGATTTTTTAACCCTTTTCACTTCCTGTGAATCTCACATGAGTTATTTATCATTCTTAGCATTTATGACAACAATCCCATTTTCAAATTACTTGCTTTCTCATTAATACATTTTTCTTTTTTCAAAGATATTAATATCTTTTTCTTTTTTCAAAAAGGGGAATCCTGCTTACAACAATATTTTTAAATTTTGTTCTAATTTTTACACAATTTCACACTGGAGATAACACTGTTCTGCATGAAAATGCTCAGAAACTAATCTGTTAATTCAATAATTTCTACTTATGTAACTCTTATACTGACCTGTAAATTGTCACATCACGTAGCATAATCTAAACATCATCAACAACATGTTTTGACTGATTGCGAAGCAGGTATACAAATGTACTTAATAAGTTGATAGTTAAGTTGTTATAGCATACCGGAGTGTGATGTTGCAAATCTACGTTTTCTCCGAGTTGATTTGGGCTACCTGCCAGCACTACACGGGATGCCCCTCTCCTTAGGCTTTACATGGAATTCCAAGGACAGCAGTGACCAGACTCTTAATGGTCCAGTTTGCTACTTGGCTACCAATACCCTCGTGGAGAGGACTTACACCTCCCGGCCCATGAAGAGCAAGTATAGACTTACCCCATGGACCATCGGGAACCGCCAAGTTCATAAATTTTATACCCCCATGTCCGAGACTGCCTAGGTACAGATGCTAGCCAGTACTGGGCAGAGTACTCTACATGGACCCCCGGGGGGTAGATCTACCCAAAACAAAAGCATAGCTGCTTGGATTTCGTTTACAGCAATGGAATCTGTTACAAAAAGGAGCGAAAATTTCCATGTTTCGGAAAAGGCAGCCCATGCTTGCAGTATTTTTCTCAATGGCAAATGACTTAGTTTACTATCATGATATTCCAGGTTTAATGAGCGAATTTTGCCTTTCTATAAACTTACCGAGTGGCCACTGTTTATTGACTTTTCAAAGAGAAGTCTAAAGGCAGTTTTATTGTTTAATGGGAACGAACAACCGTGTGTTTCTGTGGGTCATGCTGTAAATATGAAAGAAACATATCAGAACATCCTAACTGCTCTTTAAATACACCTGTGGTATTTATTAATGGTTTTTATTATTATTATTATTGTTAGAGTACTCGGTGTTTCTTTAAATGGGCACATGGTATTTATTGATAAATATTATGCTTTTTTTATTATAGACCATTTGGTGTTTGGATTTGCAGTTCAGTTTCTAATGAGAATTATACCTTGTGTATGTGAAATGTTTCTGCTTAGAGTTACAAACAAAGGCGGTGAAACGAAAGGCAGTAACTGCCTTATCTCTGGGATGCTCCAATACAGCGGTGTCCAACCAATTTTGTCTTGAGGGCTACTTTTAAATTTCTGGCCTGCCTCACGGGCACCTGGTATTTGATGTTTGAAATTGAAAAATAAAAATTTCATGAAAATATGCGTTTTAACTAGATGATTTTGCATTCCAAAAAAAAAATGCGGAAAATAAATTAATACAAACCTGAAGAAACTAAATAAAATCCACTATTAAAATGCAAATATAATGGAGCTCCAAACTGACTTCATTTCAAATTAGAAAATAAAGAAAAGCACATATTGTCAAATATCTCCTTAAACCAGCATTGCATTAAGTCATTAACTTGCTATTATTGAGATATCTGATTATTAACATTCTATGATAATGGTAATTTGGCCATCTTCTGATACACAGCATGTTAGCACTATGTTGTTTTCACATACTCTGGAACCAACATATTTTGTACTTGCTTTTTCTTATTTTATGTTGTGAAGGAGCTAGATCACAGAGTTAAGTTGACCCCAAAAGTGCTTTCCCTGTTAGTGCACACCTAAGTACATTTTTGTATAACAGGATCAAGTAGTTTAAAACCTTCATCACTTTTATTTTCTGTGCTTTTGAGTGTCGCATCAGTACAAAAAGTAATAATCTCTAATTTAGCCTGTGATTTCTAACTGAAACAGCATTTTTCCATTGAAGAAGTCACTTCACTTCTAATTCCAAGACATGATTTTTTAGAAACAATAAAATGGGCTCCCCAAAAAACGGGCTTTGGAATCTTCTCTTAAATTGTGCTAAGTAACAGAAAGTTTTCAACATGAATAAATTCCAGGTCTAGAATGAACTTATATGACAGAAAATGTCAATAGCCTTTCTTCCAATTAATTGTTCTACCACAAATTGATTTTAGCCAGAACAGCAGATACGGGACTCTTTATTTCCAATACACGCTTTTCTTGCAACTTGGTATTTAGGCCATAGAGTTTTATAGTGATCTTGCTTATAAATGCTAAGTCAACAAGCCATTCCGAGTCATCCAATTTTTTATCATAATTTTCTTTGGATATGAGAAAGTTTTAATCTCAGACAACATTCCAACAAATCTTGTTAAAACTTTTCCTCAGCCATCTTACTTCTGTTTGGTATATTATATCATCACACTCGCTATCTAAATCATCAAGAAAATTTTTTAAAAGACTACGATTCAAAAGTCGTCCTCAGACAAAATTTACAATGTGTAAAGTAACAGTCATATATGTCTTGTGCTTCAGTGTACTTTTCCAAAGTCAACATGGTCAAAAATGCTTCTGTCATGGAAAGCAGGAAATGCTATTTTTGTGAACATTTGAAGTTGTGGTGAGTCAGTAACATGAGTGAGTTCATGAAACCGCAGGCGAAAATACACACACTTTTTTCAAATCAGATTTCATTTGTATGTACATGAAGTTCGCTATATCGTTCACTCATCATGCTGCCGTATTTCAGAGGCACATCTTCTATAGCTGAGATAACTATTATTATTATTAATTTGTGAAATAAAGACTCTGACATTACCAGCATAGCTTCCTTCATGAGCTGGATATGCAATTTTATATCATGCAAGAACATAACTTACTTTGAAGGATGCTTCTACCTGATTCTTTCCGTCAATTTTTAGGGTGAAAAGATTATCTTGTTGAGCTATTTGAGAAAGTTTCATGACTGAACTTTATGTCTATGTAATGAAGACCCGAGTGGATATTTACTGTTGAAATCCTTATGAAAGGTTTTATGATGACAACATTCAGTCTCTTTACTGCTATTAAAGCACTGCATAATAAATAAAATGCTTTTTTGCCAGCATTTGTAAATAACAGCTAGTCTTCTTTTTTGTAGTTGAAGTGGTACGTTTTCTTTTTCCTTAATGGCCCTGGGACATAACTCATGTTGACAAGGACATCACAAAATATATGAAATAATTTTAAGTATTACAGCAAATCCCTCCTGAAGATGGAGGTTACATATGTAACACATTGCGCATATGGCAAAATCACATTCTGCAAAGTTAACTTTCTATATATATATATATATATATATATAAAAAAAAAAAAAAAAAAAAAAAGGGGGGGGTTAGGTATAGTTTAGATTAAGAAAGTATGTATAATTTATACTGTGGTGTAGTGGCCGAAACCGCTACGCAAACCCTGGGTTGTGACACTGGGTTGAAATGAACTTCTAACTCAAGTTAACATGAATAATAAGATGAAAACCTTAATAGTTGCATATCTTGACAATATGGGCCTTGGGTATATTTGGTCCCGTAATTTCAGAATTTTGTTACCAGAAAAATGCTCTACCGCATTCTACATGAGGAATGATCGTTCTTAGCAGGCCAAGATGCCCATAGCTCTAAACAGGAAAAATTGTCCTCTCTTCTCAGGAAACCACCTTATATATCTCCTTGTGTTTACTTGTGCTGATCTCCGAGGGGGGGGAATGATTCTTTCACTCATACATAACAAAGTGTCCATCTCCTGCCCCTGATGAAAAGACTTCTTTTATCTCTTTGTCCACTGGAGTAACCCTCAAGGCTTCAACCAGGATCAATAACAAAAACACAGGATTTCACCACTGAAACAGATACTACTGCAATCTGAAATCATTTATTGTACCTTACCACAATACAAACCTAAATATTATTGTAATTGAAAGGGGGGAATGAAATAAATGTTAATTGAAAGGATTTTTATTGCTCTTTAAAAAGTAGGTAAATAAGCAATTATTTTTTTAAACAGGTGGTGAGTTTTGCTTGGGTCAATGTCTGATACAAGTAAGGAGTGCGAACTCATAAAGTGTCCTTTTCTTGCTTCATTTGGGTGACTCCCTTGGAAAACCAGACAAATCCTGCGCATTTTTAATAATTTGTTTAACTTCTTGTGCGTTAAAGGTTCTTTATTCTTTTTCATTATCACTACTTTCTCTGTTTGCAGTGTTATGAGATCATCTAGTTCTTCATTCGTTATTTCAGGATTGTCATTCTTAACTTATTTTAACTTGATTACTCTTGAATTAAATTACTTAATTTTTTTCTTTTTTTCATTATCTGAAATTTTTCACTGTCTATTACTTTTGTAATTTGAACACTTTCCTTGGCTTCATTTTCAATCAAAGGAAATCTTTTAAAATTGTTGACAACTCCTGATCAATGCTGATGCTAGCAAGCATTCATTGATGAAATCACATTTTCCATGAAAGTTTAATTATTCTTATACAGAATCATTTCCATAAAGCCATTAGTATTTTATGCTTTCCTTTGTCTGCTGCTTCATTTACAGAGATGTGGACATGCCCGATATAATAATATTTATGATTGCCTGATCCATTCATTGGATAAAGGAAGTAGTGCTTGGTAGAAGGAATAAAGTCTCTACATTTCTATGGAATGTTGTGAGGGCTTCAGTACCATGCATTATCAAGAAGTAGGAGAACTTTAAAGCTCAGGCTTTGCAGTTCAAAATAATATTCAACCTTTTAAATGAATGAATTTTCAAACCAGTCATTGAAAAAAAAAAAAAAAAAAAAAAAAAAAAAAAAACTATCACAATGTGGCTGATGTTCTACAGTGTGTAACTGAAATTTTCATGTTGGACAAATTAAATGGAGATTATTAAGAAAGCCCATATATGCAAAATCCCATTCCATAAATCTGCATTTAGCAAGGATCCACTGTATTTTAAAACTTACTCAAAACAGTCTATTGACTGCACAGCCGGATGGATGTTCCATCATTTGTGCAGATGTGCAGCAGCACCAGCAGCGAACAGGACTTTGGTTAAATCGGGCATTCTAATCCAACATGCAGATAAAAACCATGGGACCGGGTAAGGTGAAGGTGGTAACACATGAATAGGTGAACAAAAATGCAATGCCCCTATACATGATGTGCAACTATACCTTTTTTATGGTTGTTTTTTACATTAGAATTGAAGTTTTTGTCACATCGCTATACTGTGATGTAACTGACAGGTGCCAAAGATAGGATTTTGGGCTACTGGGAACCAACAAGCCATGGGTTGGACACCACTGATCTAGTAGATAATGGAGTAGATCTTTCCTTGATTCAGTCCTCTTTTGTAGAAATAGCCAGTGATTCAGCAGTATCTGGTTCAGCAGTTTTGCTAGATCCAGATGATATGAGGATGTGTCCTCTGCAAGGACATTTATGACCCCATTATCAGAAACACCATAATGAGAAGGAATCTACCAGAATATATTTTTTCTGCAACATTAACAGAGATGACGAAAGCTCTGCATCTCTCAACTTCCTAACTACTTGTTAGCTTATGTTGATCTTCAATAATCAGAATAGCTTTGCTAGAGTCAGAAAGCTTACAATCTTTGGAAGATCATCAAAAGTAAAGTTTTGTAAAACAACATCTATAACTTTTATTTCAATTTATTCAAATAAACTAAAATCAGTTTTGAATTGGCTAAGGGGTTAGTTAATGAAATAGGATTACCTCAAAAACTGAAAGCATTTCTGCTCCTGATAACATCCACCATTATAAAATAAAGAATACTCCAGCAGCTATCATATTAAAAAACTGGCAAAGAAATATGAAGATAAAAAGCAGAATGGTTGATTTCAATAGGATTTGGAGCAGACAGCAATAACTGGAGAAAATTTTAAATCTTTGTTTTTTCTTTAAAATGAGATTGTACCTGCCTTCTGTGATTTTAAAACTATATGGTTCATTAAATATTGTTTCTGAAAATCAACAAATGGGAGTTTGACAAATTTTTTATAAAGCCTGATGCCAACCAAAGAGATTTCTTGTCTGATATATACTCTGCTAAAGCAGATTAAAAAGGCATCATTTCAAATAATCGGAATCGATCTCATAATGATACTTGCAGATTGTTGCAGATGCTCAATTAAAGAATATGATTAACTAATAAAATTAAAGGTTTACTGATTTCCTCTTAGCAATATGAAAACAAATTAAACATAAATAAGGTATTTCAGGATTATATTTTCAGATTATAGGAGTTAACACATTTGTAGAAAGCTTTAAAGAGGATTGCTGTGCTATAAAAGAATCTAATTCAATTCATTTTAAAAACACATGCATGCTAAAAACTGGAGGTTATAAAAGTTGCTAATTAGTTTCAGCCCCAATACCTGTATAACTTCAAAATTATTGTAAAACATACTTGACGATTTCATACATGTGAAGACTCTTCCACTATAATGAATATTACACAAATGTTCAATATTGTTAGTTTAATTTTACTTTAGTTTAATAATATTATATATATATTATATATATAAATATATTGTTTCATAAGAATAAATTGAATTTAATTAAAAAAATTAAATTTAAATACATATTTAATTAAATTAAAAATTTTTGTACCATTGCTGCAAGGAATGAAATTTAAATTTAAACAAATTTAAATTCTTAACAAATACGTATAAAAGTAAAAAAGCAAATTAAATTCTAAAAAAAGGAAAAAAGCCGAAATAATTTTAAAAAAATGTGCAAACATGTAAAAGATTTAATTCTCGAACTAATCTACAATATCATTTAAATTCAGAAGCATAAGCAAATCAAGTGCAAAATCTATCCATGAAAATAAATCTACTAATTTAATAAATTAAAAAATTAAATTAAACAATTTAAAATTATTTTTTTTTTTTTTTTTTTTTTTTTTTTTTTTTTTAAATGCATATGTGAATGACCGTAGAGTAGGCAGGAGACAGACTTATCAAGGGGAAGTTGCCTCCAAACCTAACTCTCCAACCATTCAATTCGTGTTTCGTCACTCATGCAGGCAAGGGTAAAAGTCAAAACCAAAAGTAATTCCAATAAAGTGGTATCCTTAGAAATTAACATTTAAGTATTAACATTTAAGAATTAAAGTTCAAAAAGGAAAAAACTAATGAAGTCTTTTGAGTAACAAGCAAGTAAAGTCATAAATTAAACTTTTTCTTAAAAAATGAAATTTTTTAAAAATTAATTTTTATAAAAATAATAAAAAATCTAGAAACCAATGTATTATTAACTATGTGTAGGGGAAGTTTCTGTAGACAAGGATTTCTAAAATACATTGGTTTCTAGATTTTTTTATTATTTTATAAAAAATTAATTTTTAAAAAATTTCATTTTTTAAGAAAAAGTTTAATTTATGACTTTACTTGCTTGTTACTCAAAAGACTTCATTAGTTTCTTTCCTTTTTGAACTTTAATTCTTAAATGTTAATACTTAAATGTTAATTTCTAAGGATACCACTTTATTGGAATTACTTTTGGTTTTGACTTTTACCCTTGCCTGCATGAATGACGAAACACGAATTGAATGATTAGAGAGTTAGGTTTGGAGGCAACTTCCCCTTGATAAGTCTGTCTCCTGCCTACTCTACGGTCATTCACATATGCATTTTTAAAAAAAAAATTTTTTTAATTTTTAAATTGTTTAATTTAATTTTAATTTATTAAATTAGTAGATTTATTTTCACGGATAGATTTTGCACTTGATTTGCTTATGCTTCTGAATTTAAATGATATTGTAGATTAGTTCGAGAATTAAATCTTTTACATGTTTGCACATTTTTTTAAAATTATTTTTAATTATTTCGGCTTTTTTCCCTTTTTTAGAATTTAAATTTGCTTTTTTACTTTTATACGTATTTGTTAAGCATTTAAATTTGTTTAAATACATATATATATATATAAATTATATATAATAATAAAATTATATAAAATTTGCAAACAAATTAATAATAAATATATTTATATATAAATATAACTACTATACAATACACATTCAAATTTTCAGTCTAGTACATTTGATTTGTAAGTGGTGGACTAATACCTTAAAATTTTCACTTTTGTAATGGTTGCTATGCATTGTAATTATAAACACATTAAAATACAATAGCTGCAATGCAACTGAAAATATGTCTCACATTAGATTTTACATGACACTAAAGCAATTTCTTACATGTGAACAATTTAATTCACTTCTATATTGCAGGCATCAATTTTATTTGAACAATAATTTTATTTCATTAAGTTTTAAATAAACTCTAAATACTAGTTATATTAACTTAAACAAATTCTAAATAATTTAATGTCATTAAATTTTAAACAAAGTCCAAATATAGCATTTTAAATGGTTTGGTATTTCAGTTCATAAAAGCATACTTTCATCTGAGGAACTTCCTCTTCATACAAATGGCTTTGCAGCAAAGACGCAATTTTCAAGAAATGTAAGCAATAATCTCGGACAAACTTTTCCATTGATTCCTCAGTCCATTCAATGGATCTCTAGAAAAAAGAAAGCATAAAACATAAATTTATTAATATTTGATATCATGCTTGAAATGTTTCAAAATATACATTTTTTTAATTCATGTAATAACTTAATTACACACTCCAAAGGAACTGAGTAAACTTAATGACTTAAATGAAATAAAACTACCTTTATTCATGCGAAATTATCTATTATGTAAAGATTACAGATGAAAAAAATAGCAGATGAGAGGAGAAAAAACTATTACATATACATGTGATAGTTTCTTGGATGAGAATGTGGGTGCTAAAAGTGAAGGGAATTGATTTTTAATTCAAATTAGAAATTTAAAGATCTATTGCCAATTAAGTGCCTTTTATATTTTACACACATACAATAAAATAATAACTGAAACTCTCATACAGGATGACACATTCAAGCACATTACACATTTCATATGTGAAACACCCAGCTCTCAGATGTATATATACGAGGGCCATCCAGGAAGTAGATTACGTTTCCGTCTGTGTCCGCTAGGGGCGGGGCTAGCGCGGCCATCTTGGGGTCAGAGCGTTGCGCAGCTCAGTCTGCATCTAGCCGTGCTAGTGAGAGGTTCGTGCTGTGCTCCGTTCAGATACTGTGACGGTTTGAAATGTCTGCGTTAATTGAAAATCCCGCGAGGTGCGCTCAGTAATAAGGTTTCTGACTGCAAAAAAACTGTAAACCGATAGAAATCTATCGGCAGCTTCGTGAAGTGTATGGGGACAACATTATCACTGAAGGTGGAGTGCGTCAGTGGGTCATAAGATTTCAAAATGGCCGAACCAATGTTCACGACGAAGATCGAAGTGGGAGACCCAGCATAGTGACCGCCGAACTTCTCGAAAAAAGTCGATGCTAAAGTCCGTGAAAATCGAAATTTCACAATAACGGAACTTTCTTTGAGTTTTCCACAAATTTCGCGAAGTTTGTTGCACGAAATCATCAGCGAAAAAACTTGGTTACCACAAGTTTTGTGCAAGATGGATTCCAAAAATCTTGACAGAGGACCACAAAAATCAGCGAATGGCTGCAGCGTTGAACTTTTTGGACGCTTACCATAAGGATGGTGACTCTTTACTCGATCGCATCGTTACTGGTGACGAAACATGGGTGAAACATGTGAACTGTGAAACGAAATTGCAATCAATGCAGTGGGGGCACACAAGTTCTCCCCAAAAAACCCAAGAAATGCATGCAAACAATGTCGGCAAGGAAGATGATGGCGACTGTTTTTTGGGACAGAAAAGGTGTAATTTTGGTGAACTTCCTGGAAAGAGGCACTACAATAAACTCTCAAAGGTATTGCCAAACTCTCCAAAAACTCAGAAGAGCAATTCAAAACAAGCGCAGAGGAATGTTGAGCTCTAAGATCTTGTTGATTCACGACAACGCCCGGCCCCACACGGCAAATGTCACTCGTAAAGTTCTTGAATCTTTTAAGTGGGAGTTGTTTCCTCATCCGCCGTACAGTCCCGACCTGGCACCGAGCGACTTCCACTTATTCCCAGCAATGAAGAAGTGGCTGGCTATGCAGCATTTTGATGACGACGCACAGCTGCAAGAAGAGGTAACGAAGTGGTTGAAGGCGCAGGCGGCCGAATTTTTCGACGAAGGAATTTCCAAGCTCATACATCGCTACGATAAATGCCTTAATTTGTATGGTGACTATGTAGAAAAGTAGTATTTGAGTGTGGCTTTCATCTGTATATAATAAAATTTGTTTCCTATACTTTGTTTATTTTTTTATTCCAAAACGTAATCTACTTTCTGGATAGCCCTCGTATAACAAAAGGGAGGCCTTCATAATTAAAAATATTTACATATCATAACAAAGTAGAGGGTATATGAATGTACTTTTAATTATGAATTTTTGTTAACAAAAGATAGGCATTAATACGTAAAATGCATCCATACATCATATAAAAGTAAAGGGATTCATAATTTCATGAAACATTAAAAAATATTTTTGAAAATAAAATACACAACCATAATCAACTTTTATTGCAGGAAAAGATCAAACTTATCACCCCCCCCCATATTTCTCAAATACTTGATGTGTCCAGATTTGAAGATGCAGACATATATGCAATAATCCACTTTTGTCTCACACACATGCTAGCACATCATAATCAATAAATATGAGCTACAACAATGATAACATGGCAGAGAAAATCCTGGAGAATAGTGCAATAGGGAAACAAAGACAGTAATCTTGATATATACACCCACAAAAAAAAGTCAGATTGGTTTTAATACAAAGACTGAATAGCCACAGCATTAACAAATCAACTTCTTATCCTGTGCACCCTATTCACATTGGTGATAAATTTTGATTGAGATGCTTTCACAAAAGGGCTCTTTGATACAGAATAGGCAGGGATTTCATCTTAGGATATATAATTCATGCTCCTATAAATTTTAAATTGTGAAAAAGAAAAATTTTTATTTCAATTACATAAAGGGTGTCTCTAAAAGAACGCCAGATTTGAACAGCACATTATTTTTATTTGTTGTTGTTGGCAACATTGGTTTTGCATGTTTTGTTATCATTGATGATTGAGGTTATGTTTTGATACTGTGCTTTTGTTTTCCAGGTTAATGTTTGTAGTGTATAGTCATGGAAAGATACAGTATGGAACAGCGAGTGTTGATTGTGAAAACTCACTACAAAAATGGTGAAAGTTTCGCGGAAACCGTTCGGAAACTCTGTACAATTTTGGGGCACAACAATGCACCAAATGAATCTACTGTTCATAGGTTGATCAAGAAATTTGAAAAAAAAACCATTTCAACAGTAGGCATCAAAAGCACAAGATGGCCTTGAAGTGGCCGGAGTAAGGCAAATGTTGCTGCTGTGCTTGATTTGGTCACTGTGAGTCCGGAAAAATCATGTCACCGTCGTGCTCAAGAAATGAACATGTGTCCAGCAACAATGCATTGAATCTTAATGAAAGATCTACATTTACACCCGTACAAAGTTCAGTTAACACAGGAACTTAAACCAGCAGATCATGGAAAACGATGAAAATTTGTGCAATGGATCCTGGAAAAAGAACGTGGTTTCACAAAGCACATCATTTTCTCAGATGAATCTCACTTTCATTTAAACGGCTTTGTGAATAAACATAACTGCAGAATATGGGGATCAGAGAATCCAAGAGTAATTCACGAAAAAGACATGCATTACGGTTTGATGTGCAATTTGGGGTGGGGGTTTAATCAATCCTTATTTTATTGAAGATGACCAAGTAAGGGCTGTCACGGTGAATGGAGTTCGTTATCGTGTGATGCTCACTAATTTCCTTTGGCCCCAGTTGGATCAAATGAACATCGAAAATTTCTGGTTCCAACAAGATGGTGCAACTTGCCGCACTTCAGGAGACACAATCGCTCTTCTGCGTGAGAAGTTCCCAGACAGACTAATCTCGTTACGAGGAGACCAAACCTATCCACCTCGATCTTGTGACCTGACACCTTTGTACCTATGGGGGTACACTAAGTCATGAGTTTACAAAAACAAACCCCGTAATCTGTTGGAATTCAAACAAGAAATTCAACGGGTTCTCAATGAAGTTGATGGGGAAATGTGCACGTAAGTGATAGTTAATTTCATGGACAGAACGATTGCTCGTAGGGCTAGCAGGGAGGGCATATGCCCAATATTGTGCTTCACATATAAACTCAACATCTCCTGAAGAGAATGGTATATTTTGTTTGCTTCTTTCAAATAAATAAATTTGATTTATAGTAGATTCCAATCCGACATACTTTTTGAGACACCCGTTAGTAAAATCTTTATTAACCCTTTGAGCAGCACAGGGTTTTAGATCCATCATCAAAACCATTATTTAAACAGCATTTATTAATGGAGTTTGTATAATTACTTATTTTAGTCTGTATTTTCATAAACTTACATTCATTAAGGAGATATTTATATTATTAAAGAAAGTAAGAAAGTAAAATATCTTACATTATAAGCTAATATATGCTAAGTAGCAAAACTTCTGATGACTGGATAAAGCCGGTCATAATGCTCAGAGAGTTAATTCCTTTAAATATGTGGTTTTGCATTGTATGATTAATTTTTGTTCAGACAAAGGAGAAAAACCTTTTCCCTCCTGTTCTTCCACAATGTGGGACACTCAGTGAATATTTCTTTATCTGCATGTGGTTTCATCATCGCTTCCACGGTAAGAAGAGTACGTCTGCTAAATTTGGCACAATTTATTATTACAGTAGAAGTCCGATAAACCGGCACGTTCGGGACCGGCTCGGTGCCGGACTACCGAAAATTCCGGTCTATCGGGCGGTAATTATAAGAACAATTAGGTTAATAATTAAATTAAAAATACAGTATGCAAATACATACAACAAAGTTTATTTTACATTTCATATAATGTATGTACACGTATTGTAAAACATATTTCACTTAGATTTAAAAAAGTCACGAATGTCTTTTTGTTTTCTGGACTTTTGGCGTTTAGTATAAAATTTATTTCTAATGATATGGAAATCAATAATTTCTGAAGCACTGTAGCTAGTACTAGCCTCGGCAAAAGAGATAAACTTATTTAGTGATCCTGCAGCTTCTGCCCAGCTGATTTTTTCCTTTTCTTCCATTTCAGCATCTGAGTCATTTTTTTCAAGATTTTGAGTAGGCTGAGGGTTTACTACAATATTGATAATGTCCTCATCGGTTAGTTCTTGTTCAACAGGCTCATTCTCGTCGATTAAAAGCCACTCCTCTACCTCATCTTCAGGCAGGTTTTTCAAGGGATTGTCAGTACTTCTAACGACATCCAAAACTTTGGTCAGAGCGTCTTGATGGTTTTCTTCCTCATCAGTCTGTAGAGTTAGGTCAGATGCAGGGTTTGCAGCTGGCCAAAGTTTTCTCCAGCATTTTTGGAGTGTTGTATTTTTTACCTGGTTCCAAGACTGTGCAATAGCATAGACGGCATCTTTTACTGTAAACCTTTACTGTAAACTAATTGTT